TTTTCCCTTGAACTAATTGGAAGACCTTTTCGAAATGGGTAATAATTAAGCAATCAAGCACTATATCATGGTTTCATGTCTGTACTTTGAGCCTGTAACAGTATTTTACGTAAATCAAATTCTAAATGCCTATGAGTAAATTATTACACACAGTTGACAATGTTCAGTTTTTTACATGCTGAACATATTTTTTTTAATCCAAAAGAACTCCAGCTGCTCAATAAGCTAATAGTTATAGTCAATTTTGTCCATTTTTAGACATAACTGTACCTTTTGATTTGGTACAAAATGGAAAATTTTAAACTGATATATACGACAAAAGAGATGATTTAAACTTTGACATAATAAACTTCCCTTTTGTAGATGGCGATGTTTCTCTTGTCGCATTTTATGGATGATCCTATGACGTGTACATTTCAAAACGTGTACGTTTTGTTTGTCTAATATTTTAAAAGAAAGACGATAGATACCAGAGGGACAGTTAAACTCATAGATCGAAAACAAACTGACAACGCCATGGCCTAAAATAAAAAGACAAAGACTTTAACGGAGCTGACTTCAATGAGCGTAGCCTCGCACTAACACAAAAGTTACTCTTATATTCTAATCCAGGAATAGATACTTAACCTTTCGGAAATTTGGGTCCTCAATGGTCTCCAACTTCGTACTTTATTTGGCCTGTTTTACCTTTTTTATTCGAGTGTCACTGATGAGTCTTTAGTAAAAATAATGAGCGTCTGGCGTTCAAATTCTAATCCTGGTATCTATGATGAGTTTATTTAGAGGGTGACAGATACCATGAACGATTTAATACTCAAAAAAGCGTATTGTCTTTATCTGCATCCTGTCTAGTTATTATAATGATTATCGTAAAGAAAATAATCATTAAGGATGTTTCCCACCCTACCATCCATTGTTATGTCGTAAATAGAAACATAATATTACATATTGATAAATTTCAGTTTGGAAAAGTTCTAAAATCTTTCAATGTAAATAAGGGGAGATAAATGGTACAAGTCAATGATACAGCATGCCAACTTCAAAGTGCTTATACAATATGCCATAATAACAAAAAAAAACTTAAATTGTAAAATATAACAATTTTGAAAGATTGAGGCTTTAGCATTATATAAATTAATAAAAAAAAAAATAGAAAAGGACTGTTTAACTAAACAAAACAATTTATTAGAAGTAAAGCTATGTATTGTTTTTCAGATAAAAATTAAGACATGCTGCTGATAAATGCCATTCAATGCAAGTGTTTACATACGAACACAAAATTCAAATAAAACAAATGATAAAACGAAAATAAGAAACGAAAGAAAGGGTAAATTTACAAAACAAATTGAAGATTATCATTAGAACTCAGCAGCATTTCCCAAAATAAATCTTCATCAACGAGTCCATGAAATTCGGATCAAAGGACTCTTCCCTGTTATAAATTATAAATTATAAATTGTTATAAATCGGATTAAACTATTGTCTTTTGACTTTGTTTTCGACGATCTAAGCATACACTGAACTTCCTTTTGTTTGTTTCTGTTTTCGAAACAGTAAAATGTACTGACCATATATCCAATGTTAAATGTAATATTTTTGAATTGCGGCAAATGCTATACCCGGGTGTAAATAGTTTTGCTGGGGTGGGGTGTTATAAACACTTGGGTAAATAACCAATGAAATTGCAAGATTCTTGGTTCTTAAGAAATAATGTATATCAAATTTCTGTTTGATTAAATAATATTAAATTATTTTCTAATTTGAAGTACATAAAAAGCTAGAAATAAATGAATAAATACCTGTATGTATCACAAAAAGTAACGAAAACTCCATTAAGTGTATTATTAACATCATAACAATACTTAATTGTAGTTTTTTTTTTGTTTTAATATCCAGTGAAATGTCACCTCGTTGAAATCAATACAAGTATTGAATGATAACCGGAAATTTGTTTATCATCATAATAGTCAAATGTTGAGTTTATTTTCAGAAATATTTAATTTCCATAAAAGGAAAACATTTTTTTTAACCATAAATATGATTAATTTTTAAAAGCTGTATGCAGCAATTTGAAAGAAAGATAACAGAATCAGCTCTATAATTACTTGAATCTTGAAAGTTGTCAATTCAGACATTTGAATTAAAAAACCAAATAGCACGATGTATACTTACGACGAATGTTGATGTAGAACAATAATATTATTACTAAATGTCGATGGTTAACATAACCAAGTACAAGAACAACCTCAAACGACATAACAAAAAAAGAGTCGCACGTAATTGAGAGGAACACTGATCAAAGCTGACTCCAAAAAGCATCAGCGATTTAATTGAAATCACAAAATAGAATTAGAAAAGGCCAGAATCCAATTTCCATACACGGGAGATGTTGATTGAAAACACTTCATGGAGTTTTTTGTAGAGTTTAATTGATTTATAAAACGTTCAGTTTACACATGAATGCAAAAGACAAGAAGAAGATGATCTGAATAATCATGAATAATGCCTATTTTCCAATGAGAATTTGTGGAACAATACAAGTCCTATTAAACTGAAAGGCCATAGATTTGGGTCAAGTCGAAGTAACTTACCGCCATCTGACGATCAATCAAGTCTATTTGACGTCTTCCAATTATTGTACGATTTAGGAACTTTTACACGATAAAAATTAGTAAAGCATTTTCAGTCAAAACATGTTACACTAAGAGATCACGGGTTACCAAAGAAGCATGGGTATATCAGAACATATTTAAATCATCAGATATCCTGTTGACCTGGATAAAATATGTCAGTTCCCAGAAAACTATACGGCACATATAAATATATTCGATAAACATTTATCTGAAGTTGTGCTTTAGAGAATATTATTACCATATTATATTCTTTATAGACTGGCGTATAAAAATCTTAATTTTTATTGCTTGTTGATTGATAACGAACATGATTACCATTTTGGTTATAATTACATGTATCTCAGGATACCCAAGTTTTATTTTCGTAGACACCTCTTTTTTACTTCCACTTGCCCTTAAAGTTATCACAAGAAATGAAAAATAATTAAGCATCCGTTCAGTTAAGGAGGTATTTCTACTACAATAAGCAAACGCCCTACTAAGAAACGGAAAAGAGACAAGCCTACGGAAGAACAACTCAATTATTATTAACATTTAATATATAGTATTCCCATGCATTTGGGGATATTATGAGCGTGTATATGTTTGAACCTTTAAAGGGTGTGTTTACTAATGTTTCTAATTCAAATTCACCATGAACTTATACGATCTGATTGTCTATTGATGACGTTGAATCATAATTCAGCATTCGCCGACAATAGGAAAAGTCAACAATCACTATTTATATAATTATAATAAACAAAAGGTTAAGTATTCTTTTTTAAACACTTAGTTTTTATGCATTCTTATAAAGTACTTGCACATTATGTATAACAACATAAATAATCCTTTCGCAGTATCTAAAATGTACTAAGTTCAAGATGTCACAAGATATACCACTAATATCTAATTTAAGAAATTACTTGAATTTATATGTAATATGTATCTTGATATAGTAAGGACGTTATATTTTATGCTGATCATATGCAATTTTTTTCTGTAGTTCGCTTATTGTATTTATCGTTGCGACATTTTTCTTCAAACTCGCACGTTGCTTTCGTTTTTCTGTAATTCTAACTTGTATTAGCCTTGTAATTTTTGTTAGTTTATGGTTGCATAGATTAAAACGTTCTAATGTGAGCGGACACTGGTTTACCCGATCACATAGCGTGTATGTACCAAGTCAACCTGATGGGCAATGTGTTGTTCGCTTTTGTCTTCTCACAGCGAAATGACAATGTTTGACATCGCAGTTAATAATTAATTATAAAAAGTTTTTTTTCACAAAAAACAGATTATTTTTTTTCTGAATAGAACTTATTATCCATATAGTAAATGTTTAAAAGATTCTGTGATACAAAATCTATAAGTGTTATTTGAGGTATTTCTTATGTGTAAGTTCTATATTTAAACTAAATTTTTCTCATTCTATCAATGCCATTCAGACTGGACTTTACATATGAAATTAAGAAGATTGACCAACTGGAAACCGAGATATATTTTAGTCAAAACGCCATCTAATTAACCATCGAGATGACCTCCGAAGACTGCCGACGTTCACATAACCCGATATCAACATAAACATAAATATAAATAGATAGCGACCACGTGTAATTTGATTTTTCTTTGTCTGTTTGATTTCATTTTATGTTTTTAAAAAATAACTTAATCATCGTTTTTATCTGTATAAGAATGATTGTTAGTAGATCGAATCAGTCAACGAAATGGTTCACCTTTGTTCATTTTTAATGTTAACATTCTTTTCCTTTTAATGGCTGAACATGCCTTGTACATGCGTAACCAGTCTCTAGCTAAGGGGTTTTGAAGGTCACATGAATACAGATTCAATGAGGTCGAATTATTCACTTGCAAGTGAATAATTCAACAGCGATGTTTCATAGCTTATTTTGACAAAATTGAACTAAAACTGGGTGCTAAAAGCGAATATTATTTCACTATTTCACTTTCATTAATGTTTGAACAATAAAAAATCATATTTATTTTTTTTTTATATATCGTAGCTGATGCCCATTTAGGGTCAAGACTAAATACATTGTTTTATATATTGGTTATTTTCCAGATTTCATAGGGTTTTGTCTCGTGTACATTTTAATCGAAACCTACTGATAATATGAATAAAATAAAGAATTATACCTAAGTATAGAACGACAAAGATATCAAATAAATAGTTTCAATATGTTTTGTTTTTAAAATTTTAGATTTAAATGAAATGTACTAAAGAAAAAAAACTGTACAAAGATATTTTTGTATTTTTGATTCGAGCGTCAATGATGAGTCTTTTGTATACGAAATGCACGTATCGCGTACAAAATGTTTGTATCATGAGGAGTTTTATTATCTTTTGTATCATTTGGAGACATCCAATGGTTATCCACAGATGGCCTTGTCATAACATGTTTGATCTGAAAAGAATATATCACAAAAGTAGAAAAGATGTAATAATATTAGTGAAATATGCTTGCAATAAATATGCACTAGTGTGGATATAAAATGTATCTATATTAGAATTAACGATGATTTAAATTGTTAAACAATTTACTAATAGTACGATTATTCATGTGCACATTAATTGTCATAAAATAGCATTTATGTTTAAGTACTCCAATCACGTTATGAGAAGCGGATAAATTATAATAAAACTTACATGATATAAAATTAACCAATGATTGTGTCATGGTAAAGTCACAATTGTTTCGGTCGCCTTGGTGTATAAGTTGTCAGCATTCACTATTGAATTAAAGGTGCCACAAAGTAGCAACAAACATTTTATCGTAGTCTCAAATTCCGTCCTCCTTTCCTCGTTAACGTCATTATCAATGATGGGCGCTCTAATTGCTTAGCAATCGTTAGCTCTCCGAAAGCAGCTGCGATCATGCCCTATTTTTAGGAAGTAAGTGTTACTCAATCTTTAGTTTTCTGTATGATGTGTTACAATTTTTTTCGTTTAGTCGTCTTGTTTTAGCCATGGCGATTTGTTCTTTTTCAGCGTTGTTTTTTGCTTATCATCTTTGTACCTTCTTTTGTTTATTTTATTTGAAGGCTTACCGCACCTAATTTATCTTATTATAAAAAATATGGACAAAACATACTTTTAACTAGCACCTGACATCCTCCTTGGTTGCATCGATTTCCTTCACAGCATGCTGAACACACTTGTACTGCTGCTCTTTTACCAACAGCAGGATTGTGGCTAGCTTTGTATGCTTTTAAGTCAGCATCACATAACTAAAACGGAATGCAGTATATCATAAGTCTATAATTTGTTTTTAAATATAAAAGAAATTCATATAACTTACATTTCAATGGACACTACCATCCATTAAAAAGGGAAGACAGGTGACCATTTGATTTTTTAACAAAAATATATCATAGAAAAAGATATCAATTAAATTGTCTGTACTATCTTGTACTTTCAAAATGTTGCACTATATTTTATATATAAAGAAATCTTGTTTAATTTATGCCAAGGAACTACACATTCATGAATGTACATGGAAAATGTAAAAGAAACTCCCTTTCGTAGTGGAACGAAAGTTTTCGCTATTAAAATAATTATTGTGACTCGTCGAATTTTCATGTTCCAGACCAGCCAATTTCTACTACAAGATTGTTCTATTATATATAATACATCCATACAACTATGGGCTGTCAGAAGTCTGTAATGTTTTTCTATCAGTCATAGAAAAACGTTCTGGAATTTTACAGTAATAGTCAATTTATTCTCTGCACATATAAAATGCGCATTTATTTGAGTGAAAGAGTAAGATAACGGGTTAAGCTTCTCCTGTTGTGCAAGCATCATTTCGTCAAGCAATTTTTGTCAAATCCCCTGTATAGAAAACAAATTAGAAGAGTAAGGCTTGATGGTCAAGGACAAACACACTGTATGATTATAATAATTCTGACAAAAACTAGTAACCAGCACCACCGTAAATACGTCATACAGAACATTTCTTGTCTATGTCTGCCGTTTTTACAAAATGCATGTGTTGCTTACACTTGTTATGTAAGATGTTGAGAATATTAAGAACAATAGAAAATGCGAAAATTCTTTAAACTTACAAGAGATCTGTTTTCGCGGTCTTAGATGATAAGATACCAGAATGGTCGTCTGATCTGTAAATTACCTGTGGTGTCCTATGTTTTTTCGTGACAGCTGGACTAAGTCTGTATTTGCCTGCCAGGTGATGCATGCAGAAAAGTGCAGAAAACGCAAACCCTGTCCGTTTAGATTTACGCGATTCCTCCAGTCTTTATCTTGGTTTGTATATTGTATATTCAAATTTAACACCTCTTATTTATAGTAACATGATATGTATAAATATGAAACCTCTAGAATACCATTTACATATAAAAAAAAATCCTGACAAACTTACAGATGTCTGTCTACATCGAAGTTGAAAATATACTTGGTTTCGATAGAAAAATTCTTTTAGTTGACACACCTGTAATATACAACCAATTGATTTTAGTACAAAAAATGACTTTCACTTATAGACAATAAATGTTTGGAGGTCTAATCATAGGCTTCCCATGTGTGCAAATGCCATTCTTAAATATTTCCCATATATACATCCGAGTTATTGGTTAGCTTCGGAACATAAGTCATTAAACAAAGAGCAGAAAAAACAAAGAAAAATGATGAAAAAATCAAGAATTATACGACAAATTTCGATTGAAGCAAGAAAACCGATTTGTAAGCACCGATAAAGCGACCTTATGTTCTTAAATGTTTCCGCAATCCATCTACCAATACAACGAAAAAACATCCGATCAACTGTCAAATAAACAGTCACAAGAAATTAAAAGGAACTGCCCATCCCACTGTCAGTTATTTTATGCCTAAGAACAGTGCGGACATCAATTACATTTTAGTTCAATTACTGTTTTTGAATAGGGATATTCTGTTTCAACATTCACCTAAACAAAATATAAACGACTAGTCTTTCGCATAATGCCACTATTCAGTAATATTCCTGTTTTGCAGACCAGTGTGGAAATTGTTGATATCAATCAATGACAGTTGAGGTAAAAACTGTAGACGTCACAATTACAATATTAAGCAGAAATTTTAAATAAGATATGACTACCGCTGGAACAATTACTTTGATGCCAAGTGTTCATCCTCATCCAAACCTGTGACATTTTCAGCCACAAATCATATGTATCTTTTACCCTTTAACAAGCCTCAAAGTTTGAAGTTCTCTTGCGTTTTAAGTCATTTTATTTGAAAACTTTATGATGACTGTTCATAAATTCTAGATACGTACTGAGAAGGCACATGTATGTTAAATCCCAAACAATGATGAGTCTTAAAAAATATTGATAAAAATTTCTTAATCACGGTTAAACACGATCTTTGTTTGGACTTATACAAGTTAAATTAAAATATATATAAGTCATTATACAACTGATATTTGATATTTTCCATATTCAATCTTTTATTTTTTTTTTATTTATAGATAAAAATAATTTTACCGATGTTCAATATGTAAATCTAATATTATTTTAATTACAATTAATGACAAAAATATACTGCGTTTTTTATCTGAACTTAGGTGTCTTGCTAAATTACTGAATCAAATTGTCCTTACCTCATCAGGTCGACATGCTGAAAAAGTCTGGCAAAGTGTAGGGTATTCCACTCTGTCACACTGTCCACACTCGTTTTTAACACTTGATCCACCAGGCACTATTTGATATATCATGATTTATATTGAAATAAGATAATATAATACCCTAAAGGTACTGTTTTAATCAACTTGAAATCAATTGAGTATTATATTAATTGGTATGAGTAAACTAGAAATGCTGTGTATCCCTTTCTTTTACCAATAACAATTTTATTTTTATTTTGGTTGGCTGTCTCTATTAAAGAGATTTTAAATATAAGCAAAACCTTAATGAAAATCTTGAATGTTACGCATATCTAAATACCCATTTAAGAAACATTGAAGATTAACCGAAGACGATAGTCAGCATCACTTATTTGTCAAAGGTAATATTTTTTGCATGTTTATGTTGATCTTAGCCATAATCAAAGAAAGGGGGATTGGTCAAGGTAAATGGGGGAAATAAAAAGTCGTATTTTGAAAATGATCATGCACACTTTTCAAAGTTCCCTTACTCTCTTTTTTAAAATATATATTCATAAAGAGGTGGATAAAGAATTAAAATACACGATAGGTTTGTAATACATAGCAGTTCCTTAACCCATTCGCCCCACATCCCGCCTGGAGTCGTTATTACAACAGCCATTCCTTAAAATCCAATATGACGTCTATATTTTTTAGAACTGCCCAAGCTGAATTGTGTACACTGGAGTTCAATCTTGCAATTCATGGTTGTAATGAAAATATGACAACCTTAATGGACTTCTCGAAGATAAAAATCGGAGAAGTGTGAAAAGTCGCCAATGACTTTTTCAGGAATTCACGTGGCTCAAACTAAGAGATATAATTAAGAACGAACAGGTTGTTAATTATCGTATTTGGAAGTTTCCTCTAATAGGTATAAATTTTCTTCGCCGTTCAATACGACAGCAATACAATTATTTCGATGCAAAGACGTGTCTAATCATGTACGAAATTGCACAAGGTAACTTTTTTTCTTCATGCTGCGTAATGCCTCATTCGAAACGTGTGTGTGATTTAATCATGAAACGATTGAACCACTCTAAATGAATTTTGAAATTCTGAAATGAAATAAATAGACAACTGTTACAATATTGTTTGTATTCAATCAATACAAAAATTGATCAAATTTGAAGGTAAACATTTTAAAGTGAAAGGACAATTTTGATGTTGACACGATTATGCCTTTGGTTTATCATACATCCTAAAAATAACAGGAATATAAAAAAGTTTAAAAATCTCACTTTGGTTACACAAGTATCCGTTACATGGTATTTTTGTTGCAGCATTACAGCACTGTGCACAAGATACCAGTGAATCTCTTTTACCGGCTACACCTGATATGAGATGACATACCTACGAAATTCAAATATATAGAATTCACAATTATGTCTAAAGTTAGCCTTGTGTTTATCATATCACTTGAGATATATTATCGAGAAAATTTATTTAGTAACATCTAAAAATATTTTTTTTTGGTTTATAAAAGGACCTAAAAATTGATAATCGCACAAGAAAATACAAGCATGTGTCACTATCCGAACAAAACAGCCTACCATTCCGGATTACCCAGGTTATTCAACGGTTTTTGGTGGAGCTAGGTATGTCAAGGATCTAAATTATTTCTTTTATTGCAAATAGCTGCAAATGATAGGTATAAAATTTTGGGATTAAAATGAGCAAATTGGATGCTGAAATTGAATTTATTGTTGATACATGTACCACCTGTCACTTAAATGAAGCAAAATATGATTTTATCTCATTGTAACATGTATTTTTTTTTTAACTGCATGACATCGCCTGCCCTCTCTGAAAAGTGTAAATTCTTTAAAAAACAAATAGACTTTTAAAAATTATATGTTGAGTGTTGTTGCTTTTTATAAATATAAATATATATTGATATGATATATGTTTAAGATTTTATATGTTTTCTAGGCTTACAATATTTTTACTTATTATAATGTTACCTATTTGCACCTTCTCATGGAAATCATGCAGCTTGGTCCTTTTCTTGTGTATGAAACTATCATATGCGACTCATCACCAAATGATCGCTTGCTGCACAAACCACCGACGTCTGCGACTAGTGGAACAGGAGCAAACTTAAGTACGTACCCTTCTGGAGCACCAGATTTCAACTATAGTTTTAGTTGTGTTCGTGTTGCTTCCCCTTAGTGTTAGATGTGGGTTTTTTTTTTATTTATGCAGATGCGAACTATTAGTGTAACAAGATGTTTATTTAAAAAAACATAAATACATTAACAAGAAAGAGGTTACTGGGATAAATGTTTAGCCTAGGAAAAAGCACGAGGGGTACACAATATTTATAATTTCAAAATGTGTGCAGCGAAACTTTGTAAATTTAAAAAAAACGTTAACGGAGCGGAATTGTACATTGGATGGAAAATATGTGCTAAGATAAGAGTAACATCAACTGACCACTTTGTTGAATCTACCTGTTTAGATCTACATCCAGCTGTAAAAACGGTCGTTAAATCTTCTTTCACATGTTTGTCAAGGTAGCACATCTAAAATGAGAAAGAAAATTGTTTATACCAACAGCACAATCTACTGCTGTTTTCTGCGTTCGTGTTGCATCAAAAGTAAACATGTAATTTCGTAGTCAGGTTCTCTCCCTTGCAACATACGGGTATCTATAATAGTTCCAAAAGTTTCTAAGTCAGACTATTGTGTCTGGTGATATACCTTCCTAAGAACTGTTTGGTTGTTATCGGTCACATAAATAATCAAACTCGGTGTGTCTGTTTAATATATATAATAAAAAGCAAGGTATATTTATATGCATGTAATATTTGCAACTGGACCGTAAGCCACCAATCAGTTAGACCTGCTCCCGTATCTTTTACCAAAAGTGAAAGCAAATTTCTTTTTCAATTATTTGTGTTTTCCCTTACATTGTTATACAGCGTTCATTGATGTTAAGATTTTAAAATATCTTCCAAATAGTTATTTTCAATATTTTGTTTGTAGCATCAAACATGTACATAATCAAATGTATATATATATGTATATAATATATATATATATATTATATCATTTTCCTATTTTAATGTTACTGTTTTTTATAGTAAATACCTCTGAAGAATCGTCGCATACTGCTGTTGTGCCTAAACAGTCCGTTATGTTTACAGCGTTCTTACAAAACAAACAAGTAACACCTATAAAATTTAGACAAATACTTTGTAATGATGTTACTTAATTTCAGTATGTGTGTATAGTATGTGCTCTGTTTTATTTGAATCATTAGGAAACATATCTTAAAGTTAGGGCCGTCCAATTCACCCTGTATTTGTTTCACTTATTGAATCAAAATCGGTAGTCGTTGAAAAATATTGAAATTTGTATATTACAGACTCTAAATAATATTCGTTTTAACAACTTTATGTATATCCATAGACAAGTTACTAAGAATGATATTGTTTTGGTTCTTCCTATTCATTCTAGGATAATACTAAATATTTCCAAAATCTATCAACAGTGCAGTTTTTAGCTCTGAAATTCTTTAGGCATTTATAATTTATAATTTGGTCTTATGTTATCAAATTTGCAAACTTCGTGGAAACTTTAAAGAACACTTACATGTATCAGCTGTGACTATGTTAATTAAAAGATCGAAAGACTTTTTGAACATACAAATTATGTGAGATTAATTCGAGAGAAATCGGCTCTATCTCTTGGTTGTCCGTCACGATGGATAGTAAATTAAGACGACAGTGACGGTAGTACATGTATATCGTGTTAGTGACCATAGAACTCTCTATTGGAGCAGTTTTGTGTGACTAGCACACCCATGCTAATGAAAATAAAAATAAGAAGATGTGGTATGATTGCCAATGAGACAACTCTCCACAAGAGACCAAATGACACAGAAAGTAACAACTATAGGTCACTGTACGGCCTTCAACAATGAGTGAAACCCATACCGCATAGTCAGCTATATAAGGACCCAAAATGACAAATGTAAAACAATTCAAACGAGAACACTAACGGTCTGACAAACTATTGAACGAAAAAAACAAATATGATATACAGCAACAAACGACAACCACTGAATTACAGGCTCCTGACTTGGGATAGGCACATACAGAATGTGGCTGGGTTAAACTATGTTGAAGGCGCACCAACCATCCCCTAACCTGGGACGACAGTGGTGCAACAGTACAACATAAGAACAAACTATAAAAATCAGTTGAAAAGGGCTCAACTCATCAGATCGATACAACGCAGAAATACATCTGACAAAAACACATAGAGGACGTGGCAGGGTACTTATACATCCACACAACAAAACGACAATAAGTACAGATCTGAGAGTACTGAAGTGTGTATAGTGTGAACATGCACGAGCGTCACTATTGACAGAGTATGTGCAGTCGCCATACGATGGAACAGAGAGTATGTTTCTGCTGAAAAATATGAAGTTGACAATTACAAAGTTGAAATCATCACATTATATATGAAACTTACCGAATACAGTATTAAAAAGGGCTACGAACATCCATATACCTATCAGAATATAAATATATAAATTGACTTACTTACGTACGAAACAAGACAAACAAAGAAAATATATTGATATAGGTATATGTATTTTTATTTACTTGCATTTTTTAAAAGGTCTTGCACGAAGTATAGTAAATAAATAGGATTACACAAAATAATAAAGACATTCTTTAACAGTTAATGTTTTGTTAAATTGCTGTCTTTCTTAGTTTTATTCTGCAAATCCTTTTTATTAAAAATATCTGATAGCAATGAATTCATACCATTTCCTTTGTTTTTCAACAGGTACATGTGTAGCTCAATTTCAATATAACCCATAAATTTAGACGAACATCAACATATTTTTTATAGTTGTTTTAAAGCCATATATTGCTTAACCGAGCCACTTTGTGCATGTACCAAATCAGGTTAAATTGACCATGCGGTTGTTGTTGTTTTGTTGTTGTTGTTACTTTTGTAAACAGTACAAAATCTGTTTAACTAATCTACAGAAATATGATGGTCTTGCAATGAATGCAAATATTTGTCAAACTGATGTGTAATATGGAATGCAAGTCCAGTCAATACTAATTAATTAAAAGTAAAAGATATATTCGTAAATAATTGTCATCATTAGTTTTCATTTTATTATTTTTTATTTGTACACAATTATTTATGGACCTCTGATTTCAGATAAAATATTTGAACAATGCATTACTGTATGGCATTATAATTCTTGTTACGCACAGTCTAACTACGTGGCCTGCATTTAGTTCAGAACATTTCAATCATTTCTAATTTATGGCTAAATAAATCCCATATACTGTTTCGTAGGTTCGATATTAACCATTCGATATTAAGGTTTTGTTAGTATTCATGCTTTTATGTTTTCCAAATCTGGACATTATATTGCTTTGCAGTTAACTTCAAGTAATTTTCCTCTTTTTCAAACTTTTGGGGTATTTTTGGTACTTTATAATGGTTCGATTTTGTTTTATTTGATTTTGTTTTGTTGGATTTTGTTTTGTTTAACAATTTTTTATTTATTTGTTTAAATTTTTTTGTTTCTTTATAATTTCATGCTTTGTATTTTTAATTTAAATAATGACTTACATAATAAAAACATCTTAAACTTCCTTCGTCTTGTAGTCTGACTGCAAATATGAAGAAATTATTAAGATACTATTGTATGTGGAACATATATCCGTGGCAACACATATATATTTCATAACGGTAAAAAAACTCATGATGGCGTCCGTGAAACCTTTGAAGGGATGGCTTCAACTTTACCACGTCTTGGAATCCTTGTTTCAATCGCTCAGTTTGTAAGCAGCAACCCTCTATGAAGGAAGTCATTTTACGAAACACTGTGAAAGTAAAGGATTGAACTGTATATGAAAATAGATTTTGCCATACTGAGTGTGTTCAGTTGATATTTTACACGATGTGATACATGAAGCTCAATATGATTTTTCTTTGTTTGTTTTTGGTTGAATGAAAATGAACAGATGAGAAAATATTTCACATTTCAATTTGTACTTCAAATTATTTGAAATCTTTCATTTAGAACAAAAGTCAACACATTTTTGTGGCAATTTCACCTAATGAAAAAAACTTTTGACACTAGATCTTCATTCACACTACTAGATTGTGTTGATTTCATTACAAATAATGTTATATGGCTAGTTTTGTCAAATATCCAAATTAACAACTTTCCAAATAACTTACTAACTTTTCTACCAGCAAACAAAAATATTTGTTTTTTTTTTTGTTTGTTTGGTGTTAATTTACATGGATGTCTCGTTACTTGATCGGGAAGTCTGGTGTTAGTACTTAATATTGACTGTTTTCCCCATTATATAAACAATTGTATGTCCTTTGTGCTCTTATTAAACTTATTTGTGGTCCTTTGTGCTACATTGTGCTTCTTTGTGTACAAAGGAGGTCCTTTGCAGTGTTTTCAGAGACCAATTGTATGGTGTACTATGCAGTATCTACCTTCTGTATCGTGATGTCCTTCTTATGTATTATTCGAAATATGTTTCCATGATTTAAAATAAATAAGAAAACATGATAGTATTGTAATAGTTTACTCTAGAACAGTTGACTTGGTCATGTATTATACAATCCTACCTTTGCTGAAGAATTCTAAAACTAATCAGAACAGATCTTATCTCTATTATAACTATACATTTCATTTATCTTTAAAATTCGAGACAATAGAAGTTTATGAACATACACTTGACTCTATGAACTGATAGCAAAGATATATAGTAAAATCTGCTAATAAAATAAATTAAGAAATTATGAAAGAATCTTAGGTTTCAACTCCCTCAGGCAAAGTTGAACTGAGCTTTGCTTCTTATGAAGAAAAAAAAGAAGTTAGCATTATCCTTTAACTCTTCTATATAGATGATATTCTCTCACTAAATAATTCAAAGTTTGGTGACTATATTGAACGCATCTATGCCATCGAACTTGAAACAACGATACCACAAATACAGTTAAGTGTGCATCATATGTTGAGAGGTTTAGCTAGCTATAAAACCAGGTTTAATCCACCACTTTCTACATAAGGAAATGCCTGTACCAAGTCAAGAACATGGCAGTTAGTTTTCCATTCGTTTGATGTGTTTGAGCTTTTGATTTTGCCATTTAATAAGGGACTTTCCGTTTTGAATTTTCCTTGGCGTTCGGTATTTCTTTTTATTTTACTTTTTCATAGGCCTTGTATTTTCTATCATGATTTGCTTGATAGAAGGTTGCTGCTCACAAGGAAGCCATTATACCAAGAGTTCAAAGTGGTGAAGTTGAAATCATCCTTTCAAGAGTTGGTTGATTGTTATGGAATATCTGTTTCAAGGGTGACGACGGATATGTTCCAATTATCGTAACCACAATCCCTTCCTATTTTCCCCGAATGTGACCTACCGAATAAGACTTATCACCGGGTTTGTACTTACATGAGCAACATGAAGGATGCCACTCTTTTAGCAGGATCTGCTTACCGTTTCGTTCCATCTGAGATCACCCCGGTTTTTGGTGGGGTTCGTGTTGCTTAGTCTTTAGTTTTCTATGTAATGTTTTGTTGTTTGTGTTTTATTTGATCTTTTTCTGTTTTGGCCATGGTGTGTGTCAGTTAACTTTCGACTTGCGAGTTTGAATGTCACTTTAGTATCATTCGCCTCTTTTTTTTTAGATTGATTTGGCTATTATTCGAGGTCATTTTGGTCATATAGCTTTTTAACTGTTTTAGTCCATACACTTTAATGGCTTTCAAATGTTCGTCTTTGAATGTTCCTGGTTATGTTTAATCCAGAAAAGCGCATCGGGCGAATGAAATTCATAAAGTGTTGTTTACATTTTACAGCAGTGGGTCAATACCTCTGTTGGATGACTACCATTGCCTAAGGGTATCATCAGCACAGTAGTCAAGTTATGAAGAAACTATGGTCTCAACTCTCTCGACCTTAGTTTATTCTAAGCTAATATCTTTTTCAGTAGGAGCTTGCAAGTGGTATGGTAACAAAAGATATCTGACGTATTTCTTAGCAAAATCAGTGACTAAAATCGAATAAAATCATTAATGCTGAATAATTCAAAAGTTTTTTTAATGGAATTTATATTAATTCACTTTGTTTCTAGGTCTGAAATTTTTGTATAGCTATAGCTTATAAACTACCATTAAAAAGAAATCTGGTGCGGACAAACATCGCACAACAATTTCTGTTTTAGTTCAATATGATTGGTGATAATATGAGGAGAACGATGACCTGGTTGGGGAAGCCTTAGGGCTTAGGTAACGTATTTCTTACGATTTATACAACGAATTAAACATTTCCGTACACTCGGCAAACAAAGGAAATGTCACAGACGTGATAGTAAATACTTTGCAGTTCAAATGTTTTATTCCAATACTGACTCATTTAATCTTTGAAACATGAAGAAAAGAAATTAGTTAATCAAAATCTCGAAAGTTTGATGGATAAAAATTGTCCAACAGGAGAGGTTAATCGTATTAAACGGCACCAATTGTAATCCACTAGATGCATATTCCGACAATCTATGTATCCGCAGTGAAATTATTAATATGCAATTCATGAAGATTCTACAGAGCTCTTGTTGTGATGCAAATTTTGCCATTAATTTTCTCATTCTTCGTTCTTTATAAATTTCAAAAAGGCAAAAATAAAGATTTGAAATAAAAACTTTTTACATCTCTCTGGACGAAACCGCAGCACTCTCAATCGACGGAACTTTCCCCTATTCACTATGTTTAAATATTCGAAACGTTAAGGGTTTCTATCACAAGGCATATATCATGTCAGACGTATTTTGCACAATTTTTCGGAATTTTTGGTCTCCAATGCTCTACAACTTCGTATTTGAATTGGCCTCAAGTGTGACTGAGGAATAGAAATATGGTCACTTTGGTCTTCTTTCGGCCGACAGTAAAACCCTTGCAAAAGTGGGGCGTCCGTTTGTCTGTGTGGGATGTACAAGTACGCAACCACGTCCAGTCAGAATGGGGACGTAAAAGCTGATGCCTCGAGAGAGTGCCATATAGTCTATGTACATTAAGAACCCTTGCAACCCGTAGTTGGACTGTTGCAAGCCAAAATGTCTGTATCCAATTTACCCTCATTTTCCAGTGGCAGTCCAAATTTCCCCGCCCTTCATCTCAAACGTCCTCTATCACCGGACCTACCTATTGTATATATTGTTAATGTGTTACCGTCCTGAAAATGCATGAAATATTTACCACTGGACGCTAAGCAACCAACAATCAATCATCGTATTTGATTTCACCTATCAACTGTATTGATTCGAGCTCCACCAATGAGTCTTAAGTAGACAGAACTCGCGTTTGGATAACCAAATTATAAGAATGGTATTTTTATGAGTTTTTAATATATACAATGTACATGTAGATCAACCGTGACGCTCTAAGCTGTGTTCCTGATTATTTATTTATTTATTTTCATTTTTAACTAATGTAAAGTAATGTTTCTTTTATTTCAGTTTTATGTGCAATTTTAGTTTTCAATTTCTTTGTGGTTATTATTGGTAACGTTTATTTTTTTTAAAGACTATTTCCATAACATTGATAATGTCTAAGAGTTGGTCAACAAACATTTACAAATCTAGGATGCATATGTGTGTGGTGCTCACTTGATTGAATGGATTTGTGCTAGATTATGTGTGTGTGTGTGTGTGTGTGTGTGGTACTCGGATACTACATATATTTTGTATACTTGTATGCATTTTTTTTAACCTGGGAAAGACTTAAAAGTGACAAATTGCATTTTAGAAAATGCATCATTTATTGATGATGGATAAGAATGAACTTTTAGTTTTGTAAAATGTTAGTTTAATTTTTACAATCATTCCAAAGCAACGACTAAAATATGCACAAATACTTAATAAATGCGATATCGGAAAGTTTTGAACAGTGATGATGAAACTGTGATGAGCTTATAGGAATAATAATTTGGTACAAATGTAATGAGTAGGTATGTTATAAAAAAGTGTTTATGATATCAGTTCATAAGGCAATTATATACTTTTGAAATATGTTGATAGATATAAGTTTCATATTCGCATTTCCATGCTATGTTTTATCAACGTTTAGTCTTTTTAGGTTTTACCACAGTCATTTATCTTCTCGCCAGAGAAATGATCGTAGATATCATCACTAGAGGTTGGCATCCTTTTATGGAAGGCTGAGTCATATACATCATCAACAGTGCGGTTGTAAACATTTTCTTCAGGATTCTGTTGATGGATGTCTTGACGTCGGTGAGTATTGCCAGTTTGATAAGTACCATAGCTTCCTCCACTATTTGTTCGATCTCTGTAACTTGGCAAACATGACTTTAAGGACGGATCACCAGCTATAGGATTTGCAAACTCGTAATCATTGCCATTCCCAAATGGCTGAATTAAGCCGTTTTTATTTAAATGATCCTTCAAGTTCGGCATACCTCCGGATCCATGAGTAAGATCAGAACGATTAAATCCAGTTATATTAGGGTCGAGTACGGTATAAGTTTCAGATGATTCGTTTTTTTCATCGTTTTCAGTTCGATCAAAGCCTGTAATATTTGGGTCAAGAACTGCATAGGATTCATCTTTAGCATAAGAACATGTTGATTCTTTTATGTGCTTATTGTTAGATTCACACACGGGTATATCTAATCGATCATTGTTGACGGCTCCAGAACGAAGGTGGTTGGTGGATTCATCAGGATCGAGAACTGCATATGTATCGCAATCCCTTCCAGCATTTAAAATAACATTAACTGTATTTGATGTTTTCTCATTTGGGTCTAGTACTGAATACTCTTGAATTAATTCAACACCTGGATTCCTTGTAGAGTTTATCTCATCATTTTTACAAATATCTGTTTCTTGTTTGTGTATGTTAGGGCCGATATAATCATAGGTTGTCTCGTGTAGTTTTGTTCCCACCGATTTTAAATCTCCGTATTGATGACTATCACGACACATGGCTAATTCATTGTATTCTGTCAAATCTCCTTGCATAGGTAAGGCAATATTCTGTCGTCTAGTGTAATCATTTCCATCTTCGGAGTTCTGTATGGTTTGGTTCTTTTTGTCTGATTTCTTTTCTAATGATCTGAAAGCATACACTTTGAACATGTTGAAATGATAAACTTTGCTAGGAATTAAATGTCCACTAAAGGAATTTAGTGAATTTTATGTTTTGACATCTCTATGCAGAATTAGCTATCTTTAAACTCATTTTAACTTGTAAATTCCCCGAAAATATTATTGGTTATCAGTGTATATTTCAGTTGTAGGATGACTTAATTTTTTCAAGTTTAAGCATAGCGTTTAATAGACTATTTTTAGGAGTATTCTGGGAAATTACAATAGAGGACAAAGAGTTTCATCCGAAACAGTTGTCTGCTTGCGAGTAGATAATTATATACCACATTTTATTCCTGAATATCTTTTCGGTGCGGGTTATGGAATTTGTTCAGCATGAGCAAGTGAAATATTAAATAGTGTATGCAATTTTGTCATTATTGTGTTCTTCCTTCCATTTCATGGCTGTAAATACTGTTTAAAAATTACTATTCCAAAATGTCTTTTTATGAAAAAAAATATATTGAAAATTTAGTTTTTAACAAAAGGGTAGAAACGATTATATTTGATCTATTTTTTTTTACTCCAAATCGTACTGTAACGGTTATTGCCGACCAGTGAAGGCCATGTGCCAACCTTAAAATATGTGTTTCTAGCCACGTTTGGGCTGTTGTCTAATACTTTTCCCTAAATTTGATTTATTTTTAGATTGGTTTGATACAATAAAGATCACACCAAGCCAATATTTTCTTTGGAAAATGCATGTACGAAGTCTGGAATATGACAGTTGATTTTAATCATTCCGTTGGTTAATATAGTTGAACATTTGGTTTTGTCAGGTTTTTTTTAAATTTCCCCCTTTTTTTTGATAAACATAGTTTGGTAATTTTGTTTTTACTTTTTTATTGACAAATGATTTTTAAAAGGTTACTATTTAGAACATGCATAAGAAACTATTTTAAGGGACAATCAAAAATGAAATGAGGAAACAAAGCAAAATTAAAAGAAAATAGAAAGACTTCTATCTAACAATAAATGACAGACATATCAACATCGATCATCCAAAGCATTGTTGTGGCTTTCTCCAAACGAACTCTCTTTGATATCAGGAGTGATATCGAGTTCCACAAAAAAAAGAAAGCATATGCTTCCTTAGCATGCGACCCTTTCTCTTACAGTCTATTTAAAAAAAAACAATGTTACGCCAAATTCAGATGATTTTAAAATCTTTAAAAGAGGATAAAACAACTTCATATTTTTGTTCAGTTGTAACGCATGCATCCTCGTCCACTAGTGTGTAAGTATTATACCAATATAAGTTTGAATATAACCATGCGTTAAAAGTTTTAGTGTGACTCTTACCGTAAATGTGCTCTGTTATGGAATTCGTTGTAGAAGAACAAACTTTGATGAGGTTAATGATTCAAAAAATAAGTTTTACTTTTTTAATCAACTGTTTTAATGTGTAACCTTGACAGGCCAGTCTTCTGTCATTTTGATGTAGTGACCTTGTCATTAACGTGGAAAGTTGTTGTTGTAGTTAATACATGGCGGATTCAACAATAGACTTCAACTTGGAATTTGTGCTTTTCTCCTAAACACGCTTAATTTAGGACAAAGAGCGATGAATTGTATGCTCGAAATTAGAATTATGTGTTTTAATGGAGTCACTTGTATAGGCGTGTACCTCATCTAAAATCCGACTCAGGCATGATCATAGTTACATTCGAGTACTGGGACTTTTTATGTGAATCGTCACGAATAAACACATCTTAAACGTATCTGAAGATATATAGTGCGAAACCCTTGTGAAATTCAAGAAACAGATTGAGTAACGAGTAATATTGAAATCAATGTAATACAAAATACAAATCGATAAAAAAGATAGTTACCTTCGTCTTATAACTATAAGAAGACAAATCAGTAAAATGACAATTATTACAGCACTAACAGATGCACCAATGGTCAAACCTGAATGGAAATCTATTATTAGCGTATATACACTTATTTGTTTCAACCTTGTTATTCTTTGCAAGACGACGGGTGCCACATGTGGACTAGAATCTGTTCACAATTTCGGAGCACCTGAAATCACCGATTTGTTCAAGTAATATAATAAAAAGAAGTAAAATGCAGAAAATAAAATGACTGAAAATAACACTTGATAAATTTCGTGCGACCGTAGCGCTTTTCCTAATCATATGCAAGAATGATTTGAAAAATCACGTTTATTGTTCTCATTTAAATTGCAGTGTTAAAATGAGTAACTACAAACATGTACAAACAAAAGTGTTATAAATGTTGATACTAAAATCTTTTACTCTTTACGATTTTTCCTCTAGGCATTGATTGTTTTACATGTATTTAGGACAACTTTTCGCTTTCGCATTTGATTTGAACTTACAAAGAAAAAGAAAGTTTCACATACAAAATTAAACGATGGCTATATCTTTAATGAGTTTTTGATTTCAAGCATCGTTTTGCATCTTAATATCGCCCCTTTTAATTCAGGCTTACAAATCATATAATATTATATTATGAAACGTCATTATCAATTATGTTTTATTTATTTGTGACTTACCAATAACTTTTTGGTTGTCTGACATGGAATGAGAATCTTTGTCCTTTATATTGCTGGCTAAAAGTAAAAGAAATCATAAAATTCAAAGTCATTACTGTTCTGCTTTGTACTAACGTTGAAAGCTTTGCTGTGCTACTTTAATTATATACAAGAACGGGTATATATTAATAATATATATTATATAAAACATCCGGAACTATCCAAGATCTTTCCTGAACCACACGTAATAGCTTTCCTTAGAGCCTTAAAGACTTGCTGGTGAGACCCCATTTATCTTCAAAACCAGGCTTTTCGTCAGCGGGCTCTTGCAGGGGTTGTTGGGACAAACGATGTGTGACTTGCAAGCAAATACTGAATACCTAGACTTTTAACAGTCACTACACTGGAACGAAATACACAATATTTTGCAATGTTATTTACAAATCTCCTACAGTGTAAATGTGGTAAACAATATGTTGGTGAGTCAGGACAGCCATTTCACAAACGTATGAGCGGCCATCGTAGTGACTGAATTTAAGCCAGACCTTCCCCTCCGTCATCACTTGAGATCATCAGGCCAAATTAGGGCAGATCTCAATCGACTGACTATTACCACTATTGACCATAACGCTGCTTGATCTAAGTAGGAGATAATCACTCTGGAAAAAGTTTGGATAAGAAAATTAACACTTTGGCACACAGTTACGAGCACCAGAAAATCTAAACAACAGTGATCTTATATCGTTCGTAGATACTCACGAAACGTCACTACCAAACACTTTCAAAATAGTAAAATTAACTCTTCCGATTATATTTCAAATGGACGTTATGAAAAAATTTGGAAAAAGAAGATTCCATCATCTACAGCAGAAGACATCCTAAAGGTATTAAACAGCATCTAACAAAAGCCAAATTCGAACCAGAAAAAAAGTATTAAATGATAATACAATAAATACACGGTTTTATGATCAGATGAATTGAAGTATATGCTGGTGGAGTTTCATTTTTAATAATCCAATACTACCAGAGCAACTATGGCATTTGTTATAACTTCAGATTTAGAAGATAAAAATCTTTTTGATATCGGCGAATTGACAAAGTCTGAAACCGGTGATTGTTTCATTTTCTCTGGTGTCTCAAAAAACTATGTGGAGTGTTTCAATTTGAGATGATTAAGCGTGTTACTCGTACCACACGGTATTATACATTAATTCCGTTCACATAATTTGCGTTTTACCCCTTTTGAGTCGGCATTTCGTTTAAAGTATGACACACTTCTTCGAAGACGGAGGTGGCATATTTACATGTAGGTCTACGCAATATTATATCAAAGTGAAATAATGAAGTAGATCGTAAAATTTAACCAGCTTACAACAGTTCGAAAAAACATGTACGCTAATTATTTTTACTTGAGATCTTGCCGTTAGCAGATAGATAAGTTTCTTTGTGTTAATTACATTTGTAAAATTGGAGTGTTTTCAGGGTTAATAGTAGAAATCAAAATACTGGACAATTGATCTGTCAAATTAATTAGCAAGACTATCATTTTATACATTTATTAATGATTTCAATACACATTCATTTCAAATCTATTAGAATTGAAAAAAGGTCCGGTTAACCGGTGAGCGCTTTTGGTATTCGATATTCGGTCCTTCCAAATGTTAACCGGTTAACCGATTAATTGTTGACAACACTAATATAAACGATATAAACACAAACATATTAGTATGCAAGTCAGAAAACTTGTTACATTGCATAACTTGCCCAAACTGCAAAGATAATTATACTTAACAAACAGGGAACAATATTTGCGACGGAGTCAGGATTCACAAGCAACAAATACGACAACCGGGACACAGACACATCCCAAGTGAACATTTAGAAACTTGCACTGGAGGAAAATTCAAAATTTTCCCATTTTGTAAGTGCACAGTCATTTCAGGGGATCTATAGACTATAGAAAGGAACTTGAGAAAAAATTTACATAATGGTTTGAAATATATATTTTTTAATTTGCCTGACCAGAAGTCGTATTACTTTGTCAGATTGATAGCATCAAATTACATTTATTTATTTAGACAAATAAGAGCCAGACTACAACTTTTGGATAGTGAAATATGCAAATGTAAATGAGGCAGTTATATATTGAAATGATAACTGTTTTTGATAAAAAATATTTGTCAGCAAAACAGACCAAACCAACCACCAACACCCGACCCTTTGAACAATTAGATTTGCAAACAGAAACAAACAACAAATGGTCCAAATAGCAGGATGTAAAAAAGCGGCTTTGAGATAATTGAAGATCGGCATTCATTTCGGAGGGAAAGAGAATGGTACGGGGAATGTGTCAAAGTGGCAAAAACTCGACCAAAGAGCAGAAAATAGCACAAGGTCACCAATGGGTCTTCAACGCAGCAAAAAAATCCCGCACACGGAGGTGAGCTTTAGCTGGCCCGTTAACAATTATATATATTAGTTCAGCGTAATGGACGCCAAACTAAACTCCGAAACGTTCAAATGAACTAAAAATGAAAAAAAAACATACTAACAAGGCTAGAGGTTCCTGACTTGTGACGGGGCAAAACTGCGAAGGGGCTTAAACATGTTTTCTGGGACCTCAACCCTGCCCCTATACCTCTAGCAAATGTTGGATAAAAAAAAACACACAGCAAAGCGCACAGTAAAACTCAGTTTAAAAGAAGTCCGAGTTCGATGTTAGAATAGGTAACAAAAGAACTTAGCAAAATGACAACGATAAATATAAATTAACAAAGGACTACTAGCAGTTACTGACATGCCAGCTCAACATCTCAATTAAACTAAATGAAATATAATGTCTTCATCATATGAAAATCAACCACAATCCCTCCTGTTAGAGGTTTTTACTGGATATTCCAAGTGCTCCGCGAAACCTCTTTCTAAGTTATTAACATCAATTTTATCAGCAGTAAAAGCCGGGCTTCAAAGTTATTGTGAAACTACCTATTCCAGAGGTGGCGTGAATCAGATGTGGATACTAAAAAAATCCAAAGATCTTTTAGAGTACATACAATCTAAGACTCTTTCATCTTGCAATAGTATTAAAACATTTGACTTTTCTACACTTTACACAAGTATTCCCCATTCCAAACTAGAAGACAAATTGAAAAAGTTGGTCCTGCTTTGTTTCATAAAAAAGAATGGCCGAAGTAGATACAACTTTTATCTTATCTTACGGAGGGCTGAATCGTACTTTGTAAAAAATCACTTTGATTCAAACAAAAAATTCTCTAAAACTGACTTTATCAAGATGCTTGATTTCTTGATTTACAACATATTTGTTACGTTTGGAAGACGTTTTTTTCAACAAAAAATCGGCTTTCCTATGGGAACCAACTGTGCTCCTCTTCTTGTCGACTTGTTCCTTAATTCATATGAGGCTGACTTCATACAGGAACTTCTTAAGAAGAAAAAAAAAGAAGTTAGCAGTATCCTTCAACTTCACATTCCGCTATATAGATGATGTTCCCTCACTAAATAATTCAAAATTTGGTGACTATGTTGAACAAATCTATCCCATCGGACTTGAGATAAAGGATACAACAAATACAGATAACTCAGCCTCATATCTTGACTTACATCTAGAAATTGACAATGATGGTCGGTAAAAAACAAATCTTTACGACAAAAGTTGGCCACCCTTTCGAAGTGTTATTGACACCATTTTGATTTAGTTAACAGACATAAAATATTGTTAGATTACCCCTTGGTATCTTCTCTTTTGTTACATTTATAGAATTTACTAAGTATTTAAATTTTCATTGCACTTTTTTTTTGTGTAGCAACATTCTAGCAACACCGGCAGATGGAGTTCTTGCGTTTCTTTTCATTATTTTCTTATTATAGGGTAGCTTCTTTTCAGGATTCATAAGAGCAATATCCAAATGGTTAAGATGATGTCAGCCATTCGAGAGATTTACGCATGCCATCATAATTAAGTATATTGTTAGCACAAATGACCACATATATGTTCCATTTGTCGTAGCTACTGACTTATCATGTATTCCTCGATTGTCAGATCACAAAAAAATGCTACTTATTACTGAATTGTAATGAGCAACACGAATATCTTCTGTCTAGTGTTTTGGATTGTTATTTGTCTCTTTTTTTTGTATGGTATTGTCTGTTTTTTTTTCCTTTCGTCTTATGGTCTTTGATTGTCATCCGGCCTTGTAAGAATCATTAAAAGAGGGACGAAAGATACCAGAGGGACAGTCAAACTCATAGATCGAAAACAAACTGACAACGCCATGGTCAAAAATAAAAAGACAAACAGACAAATAATAGTACAGATGACACAACATAGAAAACTAAAGACCAAGCAACACGAACCCCACCAAAAACTGGGATGATCTCAGGTGCTCCGGAAGGGTAAGCAGATCCTGCTCTATCGTTACACAGAAAAATGTACTTATTTCAAGTTTAAATGTTGAAAAAGTTTTTTGGGAATCCTGTTATGTAATATCATGTCATGGGACGCACAATTCCTAAAGTGTTATCGTCTTTATTAGCACTGGGTGGGTCAATACTACTGATGTTGGACTGTTAGTAACCGAGTGTACCATCAGCTTAGTAGTCAGTTGTTCGGTACTGACATGATTTGTAATATAAATTTCTAAAAATCCTCGTTCTTTATTAATAAATTGTTTAAAAAACTAACTCTATCAGTTAAAAATTTACCTTCGATGAATTTGGCTATTCGTTTAGGTCATTTTTGTATTATAGCTGGTAACGTTTGTACGTTTTTATACATCCCTGGCTTTCAAATTTTTGTCACTGACAGTTCCTGATGAAGGTAACTCAAAGACGTCCCTTCGGATTTGTGAATTCATGATTATAGTCTTATACAGCAATAATTGTCCTATCCTAGATTATATATTTCAGTTTTACACGGGAAACACTACAAAAATATTTACGACAAAAGGGACGGTTTTTCGTTCCTTATTGTTTATTTTCCTTTTTTTTGGACGATGATGTTCCTTTGGACCCATCTTAGGGTGTTTATATATCACAACTTTTTCACTATGCTCCTGTCTGTAGTGACGTTTTGGATTGCAATGAACGTAATCTATATATAACTGGAAAATTGTTAAGTCAAGAATTTCGTTTTCTCAAATTACTTAAAACCTTCAGCAATAATCTTTGATACAAAGATTTGGTTAGGAAGTTTGGCTGTACCTGCAGAAAACTTATTACAGACGGGATAGAATATCCCAAATTTTACGGTGCTGTTGTGTACAGAGCTCGTAAATTTAGTCATATTGACTTATTCTAAAAGGTTACCAATTCAACAGTGTAATCAAATCTTTGAATCTTGTTTTTAATCGGTATTAATATTGATTTTGTTAACAATAAATTAAAACCCGACTAAATATTATTGTTAGACACACATGCACATTCACGGTCATACAATCTGTGGATACCTATAATTTGGCATTGCACAATGTCATGTTTTTCTCTAACTGTTAATGACGTCTTTCACTAAATCCATTATATGTTGGATGTGTTCTGATGGATATTTTAGAGTAAGATACATAATTGTTTTATTTGTTGTTATTGGCTTTGACCTAACTTTCAGTAGCTGCGAGTACTCTCAGATCTGCACTTTGCGTCTTTTGTATTTTTGTTAGTTTGTTTGTGCTTTGTATCGAATTGATGAGATAAGCCCTTTTTAACTGATATTCATTGTTAGTTCTTATTGTGTACTGTTAATCCACTGTCCAAGGTTAGGGGAAGGTTTTGGCGCCAGCAAACATGCTTAACCCCGCGACATTCTGTATGTGCTTGTCCCAAGTCAGGAGTCTGTAATGCATTGGTTGGCGTTTGTTGCTGTATACCATATTTGTTTTTCGTTTATTATTTTGTACATAAATCAGGTCGTTTTTTTAATTGTTTTACCTATGTTATTTGGGGGCCTTGTATAGCTTACTAATTGGATTTGTTCATTGTTGAACGGCGTACGGTGACCTATAAAGCTGTTAATTTCTACGTCATTTGGTCTCTGGTAGAGAGGTTTCTTATTGGCAATTATACCACATTTTCTTATTTTTATATTGTATTTGTAGAGCTTCAAATTGTTTCTTATCTGCAACAGGGCCCAATGATGCAAACAAGAGTTAATTAAAGACGTCAAATGTTACCTTAGGGTGAAATTAAGACACCAAAATCAAAAGGAGATTGACTTCATAGATACAAACAAAATGTTAAAAGTTCATAATAAAGATTGGACCAAACTTGATAAATCGCAAGGGGTTCTATTTCGTTGGGTAGACAAACGAACATAGAATACTATATCCAACGCTGACAGTCTTATATTAATGAAAGTACATGTTTCTATCATTTCGTCCCAAAATAATGCTCTATCATCTAAACAGTTATCAAAGTTATCCTTCTGCCACATCACGTATTTATATAAAATAGAATGTTACCTGTAGATGTATATGGTACATGTTCACTATATGTTGGTGTTATAGACCTTGTAGTTTGTAATGAGTGTGTTGATGACGACTGTCCTTCAACTAAAAAATACACAAAAAAATATTGCAGTAATTTGTTGAATGGATAAAAAATATCTTATTAAAATGTAGTAAGATGATAGGGTCGATAGGTCGTCAAGATGTTCGACTAAATATATTTCTAAAAAGCAAACCACCATTGTTTCTTTCTACAGTAAAAGATGGCCTTCAGCATAATGGGATAAGGTATGCTTAACCAGCCTTGTCAATAAGATGTGGGTTCGTAAGTATTAAAAAAAACTACTGCACAATTTCCAATCACAAGCTTTACAATTTTGCAGTTATATCAAAACTTTTGATTCTTGTACGCATCACACTTATATTCACCATGCTCAATCATATCAATTGAAAGATCTAAAAAAAAAGCACTCATCATAGATCCTGGGTTACAATTTTGTACAACAGACGCGCGTTTTGTCTACAATATACCCATCAATGACGCCCGAATAAAAAAGTTAAAAGACCAAATCAAGCAATAAATCGTCACATTAAACAGGGTCTTTTCTATAAAAAATTGGGTTCGTAGATACAAAGTTCTGTTATTAAACCATGAAAAATTTTACTTTATGAAGCATAGCACTGATTCCAAAAATAAATACACCGAGGATAATATCATCAAAATTCGGGCCTTATTTGTTGTGTTTGCATGGTGAATTGATTTTTCAACAGTGAGTCGGTATTTCAATAAGTGCTGATTGTGCACCCCTACAAGCCTTCCCAAAGAATTACAGAAAATTTTTTTTTTTTTATTTCACTTTGAGATGTATTGATGTCTTGTCACTCAATAACCCACAATTCAGTGAGTGCTTGCAGTGATCTTGCAATAAAGGATTATACCGGAATTTGAAATTTCTGCTACATATCTTGATCTTTTCCTTGATATTGCCACAGATGGACGACTTCAATCTAGAAGGACTAACTTGATGATTTCTACTTTCCAATCGTCAATTTCCCATTTTTCAGCAGTAACATATACCCTGCCCATTTCGTATGGTGTTTACATATCTCAATTGATACGTTGCATTTGTGCATGACTTCATAAGCATGTAAGTGCTCCTCACGCAAAAACTGCTCCGAAAAAACGACTGAAATCGACAACAAATACGATGTGTTTATGTCTCAACACTTTAGAGACATTTTTTGGCAGTCTTAGATATTTAAAAACCAGAAAGGTCTGTATCTTGACCGATTGTGTTCTTACATTTTCGATTGTGACATTTTGCCTGAGTGTGCATTAGCATAGCGGGGAATGTATGCATAGCAGGTTACGCTTATCCAAATTAACTGTTTACAAAACTTAGAGTTTTCAAAATACTGAGGATGTTCTACCCCATGAATAGATTATCATAGATGTATTTGCCAAAACCTTTCGAACGTGTGGGTCCTCAATGCTCTTCAACTTCGTTATTATTTGGCCTTTTTAACTTTTATGATCCAAGCGTCATTGATGAGTCTTTTGTAGACGCGACAGGCGTATCAAATTTAAATCATGATATCTATGATGAGCTTATTTTGAGAGGCCTGATGGGGTGGGGGTGGGGGGTCTCATCACGATTCACGAGTTGATTTTTTTGTCAATCACGATTCACAGAAAATAAATTTCCATGATCACGGATCACGAAAATATTAAAAAAAAAATCTGTAGAAAAACGGATCACGATAGCGAAAATGCGCCGATCACGAAGAACGAAAATAACCCATCAGGCCCCTCTATTTTCCCTGTCGACGCATCCCGTCATGCTTCTTTTAGAGTTCATCCGATTCCCTCTGTTTTTGTTTGTTAACTTGGTTCGTCTTTTTAAAAGATTTATGAGATTTTAACATTGGTAAACCACTGTTGCCTTAATTTATACTACTACATTCCGTCTTAGATGGCTCAACTTATCATTGCAATGTTACAAAAATTCGAAGAGACCCAGCTGTAACAATTTCGAGAAGAATCATGCATACAAAAGTTAAAGAGTAACTCTACTGGCTGATCAAGGGTTTTAAAAAGCTGAAAGTATAGGTTCATTGATATATAAGGCTTCCTGCACCAAAGACTCAGAAAAACAAGGGAGGCCTAGGCAAAGGGAAAGTTAGTTTGTGTTGTTTACTTCTTTAAAAAAGTCATATTTGGTGACGCTTGTTTATGATTTACACGTTTACCTGAAATGTTCCTGAAATAGACCTACTTTTGTGGTTAAATTGGATAGATATCAAATTTAAATATGAAATCCCACAAATGTATCAAATGACATCAAAGTAAAATTGCGTTACCAAGACTTCCATATTCGAAATTTTCTAAACGACTCAACGGTATATTGCTGCTAAGGTGTGGAAAATTTATGATTTCAAAATTGTAATCGTCTCGTGTGTCATAGATTCTTGTACTAAGATGACCGCTGTTGTCGAATTCAAGGAAAATGTCTAAAAATGAGGCGGAGGAAGCTGTATATCTGAGGTTTCTTTAATCATCTCTAGCTCAAGAGGATACATTAATGGGACCCCATCAGTAAAGTTTAGGTTGTTAATGGAAAGAACTTCATCATACCTGTATGTGAAATCAAATGATCTAGCTTCTTTGATCTTCTTGCTTTTTTACAAGTGTCAGAAGGAACACAGACTAATATCAAAACAAGAAAAGGTCGGCCAGAAGAGATGCAGAGTTGGTTTCCATAGGAATGTCAACAACCTGCTGGAAAGTTTGACCACCAAATTCAACAAATATGTTGTCAATGAGAAACTCTAGCATACTGATCACTTGTTCTTCGGTGTAGCATAGTTTATTTTCAGGCTCATTTTTAACAAAATATGTAGAATTATATCCCAAAACTATAATTTTGTAGCGCATGGTACCATTTTTATGGAGAAAAGCATTGTGAATAAAGTAAATAAAATCCTTAATTGCAAACTTCAGTAATCATTAGACATAATTCAAATTGTCGAATTGTTCCACAACTCCTAGTCAGTATGGAACGATATTTTGCTTTACATAATCTAAAATGAAAATATTTTGTAAACATATCGCAAACAATACACGAATTAATGTCCATCTGGTTTTACAACTGTTTACGTTGGCCGCCTTTTTAACGTTTTTGATTCGAGCGTCACCGAAACGCGCGTCTGGCGTACATAAAAGCTTAGTATCTATGATGAGTTTATTTACGTCATTAATATTACTTTTTATCCATAACGGTTGCAATTTCCGCCCCTACGCTTCTCTCCCTCATAAAACCAAATTAAAATCGACTAGAATATTACCTGAAGATGTAAACAGGTCATGTTCACCATATGTTGATGTTTGTGTGAAAGGCCATGTAGTTGGTATATTTCTTGTTGACGACGATTGATCTTCAACATGTTCAACTAATGTACAAGTTAATTAAGAAAACACAATAATTATAAGCAGAAATGTATGATATGACCTTATGACTATATATATATATAGCTATAAAATAATAAGACCAACAACTTATTTTATACAAAAATACCGTTACCTCCTAAAAACAAAATGTTGATACATTTGCATAAATTTGAAACTAACTTACAAAAGAGGAGGCAATAATGACTTAAAACAATGATTTTTAAGTTTGTATCTGTGTTGTATGTTTAGTAATTGATAAGCTTGTTCCGAATAACGTTTATGGTAAACATCATTTCTTTTCTGAATATGCCCAAATATTTTCAAAATAATTCCTAAAAAGACGTGAGGGCAACGTCTTATTTTGTACAACATATTCCTCACAGAACTATTTGTAGCTCTACATAAGTAATTTGTAATATTATTATTATGCGCGACGGTTTCTTATAACAGAAAATATTATCACTTATAGCACTATTATTTGATATTTATGGGTTAAGTCGAATAGTCATATTTTGAGGGTGCTAAATGTTTTACAAGTTTTAGCAATTTTGTTGGGATCTAAGTGAACAAATTTGCCATTTGTCTGTAATATTTGTTATAACTGAAAGAAGGACTCAAGTGTACACAAAAATATACCACAATATGCATGCATTAAAAAATTTTGAGTGTGATCTATTGTGTAACGTCTGCAGAATAATATGTTTGAATCCGTTATTTCACCAAAAGTCAACGATGTTACGACAGCAGAAAATCACACTGTAGAGGTCAATTCAAAACTAATAATAACATTAATTGTATAGATTTAAAGAGACTACTAGATGGTGTCAAAACTTTGATATCTGAGGATTTCGTGAAATGCTTGATAAAGAACTCTCTGGATGTATTTTGCCTTGGTGCGTCTAAACATAATTGGTAATATTGAAACGTTTAGATTACAACAAAATATTAAAACAGCAAATAGTTTTAAAAGATCATCAGGACATTAAACAATCTTGATTGTCAAATATATATACCTTTAATTTCATTCCACATAATTATGTACTGTGTCGCTGCAATACAAGTATTAGACGTAATTAACCGTATTTTAGTTACAATGTCACTGTCTGCAGCAACGGAACAGGCTTTGGTGAGATCAAATCTTAAATTTTTAATTTTACATCTGTTGCAAGAATTCGGTTGAGGTGTTGTACAAACTGTTATCCAAAGTATCTCTCGTAGACCATGGCAGTTATCTGAAAAAATATGTAAGATGTCAACAGAGGTAATAGCACATTATTCGAATACGGTGAATCATCAATTTAATTGTATATAAAAAAAATAAGGATAATGGTATATTGTTTTGTTATATAATTGTATTGAATTTATGACTTACGTTCGAATAAAGCTTTCCTGTATTTTTAGAATTGAGTTTTTGCAAAGCTTACAGTGTAAAGATGTATTTTTTGTTTTGTGTCTTGACCAAAGTATTACTTTAGTTTTGGGAGGGTGGGGCATTTCATGTATTCACATGTTTGAAAATGTCATCGGCAATTCTGCTAACAATATGTTCTTCGTTCCAATTTGTAATGATTGAGAATGGTCTACATAATAGATATAAGAAGATGTGGTATGAGTGCCAATGAAACAACTCTCCATCCAAGTCACAATTTTTTAAAAGTAAACCATTATAGGTCAAAGTACGGCCTTGAACACGGAGCCTTGGCTCACACCGAACAGCAAGTTATAAAGGGCCTCAAAAATGACTAGTGTAAAACCATTCAAACGGGAAAACCAACGGTCTAATCTATATAAAAAACGAGAAACGAGAAACACTTATGAACCACATCAATAAACGACAACCACTGAACATCAGGTTCCTGACTTAGGACAGGTGCAAACAAATGCAGCGGGTTTAAACGTTTTGATAGGCGCCAAACTTCACCCTAACCTGAAACAATAGTGTAACATCACAACATAGAAAGACACACTATAAAATATCAATTGAAATGGCTTAACTCAATCAAAAGACATATTAACAAAAGCAAGTGAAAATACACTGAACGAATAAATTTGATCTATGACACAATGTAAATACAAAATTAATAAAAAAAAAGGGGGGGTTAGATGTAAAACAATATCAGAAAGACATATAACCTTGGATAAAATGCCACCAAATAAAATAACGTACACAGGTAAATAAAAATAATTTTGTTGTAATGTATACATGGAGTACAGAAATATTTTTTACAAAATAAATAATTTTGTTATTCATAGTACGAGAACAGAAGTGAAAATTTATCGTAATACCAAACACTCCAAAGGTGGTATATATTAAAAATAGTGAGACGAGATTACACAACATAAGTAAACATTAAATAACAAAAATGCATATCAAATTGTACCAACAGTCAAATAACAACGAAAGTACGATTTGAGAGTACTCGCAGTTACTGAAAGCTAGTTAAAAGCCAAAAACAATTAATAATAAAAAATCATGCATCAGAGACTAAAATCGACTAAAACACATACCAGGGATTTAGTGTTTTAACGTCATGGACAGTCTTAGAAGACATGACTTGTGCAATGCCAAAATAAAAGTATCGACAGGCAGTAGGATAGTTAGGAGTTAACCTTTTAATAAAGATGTATTATGTTATATATACAAGTCTAAATTGAAAACAACGTTCAAACCTATGATTGTGTTGGATAAAAACCGCAATTTTTATACGTGTGCATATAAAACAAATTTCTAGGGAGAGGGGTCTAAATACAACACAAACAACATTTTCCAAAAGACCAAAAAAGTGAAAAAATATATTTTAACAAAACGCATTTGACTAACAGGTCAAACAACCGATGTTCTTAAACCCTTAAATTGATGACCAGATGTTACAAAATGGATCTTAATATTAATTTAATACCAAACAGAAAACAATTAACTTGCGGAAAAGATGGTATACCACAAACATGAGGTGCAAAAATTTGTACACCATATCCGGATATCGACAATTAATGTCTCTTCAGTGATGTTAGGGATCGAAATGGTATTTGGAAGGCCATATAATTTACCTCAATTTAGGATAGACTCTTGAATTTTGAGGAGTCGAAATAGGATGAACGGATCATATAAACCCGAAGGAAAATATAATACAAGCCCAAACAAAAAATATTAAAAAGTCTAAATTGAAAACAACGTTCAAACCTATGATTGCATTGGATAAAAAACCGCAATTTTTATACGTGTGCATGTAAAACAAATTTCTAGGGAGAGGGGTCTAAATACAGCACAAACATTTTCCAAAAGACCAAAAAAGTGAAAAAAATATATTCTAACAAAACGCATTTGACTAACAGGTCGAACAACGGATGTTCTTAAACCCTGCTGACTGCCATTGGCGATTGCCAAATAAATTGATCACCAGATGTAACAAAATGGATCTTAATATTAATTTAATACCAAACAGAAAACAATAAACTTGCGGAAAAGATGGTATACCACAAACATGAGGTGCAAGTATTTGTACACCATATCCAATTAATGTCTCTTCAGTGATGTTAGGGATCGAAACGGTATTTGGAAGGCCATATAATTTACCTCAATTTAGGATAGACTCTTGAATTTTGAGGAGTCGAAATAGGATGAACGGATCATATAAACCCGAAGGAAAATATAATACAAGCCCAAACAAAAAATATAAACAAGTCTGAATTGAACACAACGTTCAAACCTATGATTGCGTTGGATAAAAACCGCAATTTTTATACGTGTGCATGTCAAACAAATTTTTAGGGAGAGGGGTCTAAATACAGCACAAACAACATTTTCCAAAAGACCAAAAAAGTGAAAAAATATATTTAAACAAAACGCATTTGACTAACAGGTCGAACAACGGATGTTCTTAAACCCTGCTGACTATGTTATATATAGATATAGTAATCTCTATATAGAAAATGAACGTGGATATGTATTTATACATAAAAAAAAAAACGTTTGAAAAGAATAAAAATTTTGTTATGTTTTAATTTGCTGATGACAAAATCGATATTTGTGCCAATGTAACTATATTCAAAGATCTAATTACAACATTGGTAAGATAACCTTTACTAATAAGTTTGTTTAAAGGTTCGATGAGTTTACACGGATCACATAGTGATTTCCGCGTTGGTAACACATATGTACGTATTTTCAGGGGGACAAGAAAAAAGTTAAACGACATAGAATGATAAATATACAATATCATAATAGTTCTTTTTTTTATACATGTAGCAATCAAAATTTCCATCACCGGAGGTATCGCAAAATTGCGAAGTGTTAAATACTCTAAATAAACTTGTGGCAAACAATCAAACTTAAGAATGGCGTAAGTTATGAAAATATCAATTTCCAAAACTTATTCAAAATCGTCGTATTTATCAATCAGATTTTTTCTCGTCTAAGGCATAAGCTCTAGTTTTACTTCCAATCCCCAAATAATAAGTTCAAAAATAGGGAGAGTTTTGTTTTCTCTAAATATAGGTCACACCATGGCCACTCTCATAACAATATTAATTTTACTCAAATTCACCGTTTTCGATTCATCTGTGTTCTTCAAGGTTTTAACAAACTTTTAGCGTCATTTCGAAGATTCGACCAAATAATAAATGTTTTTTACACAAAACTGCAATGTTGATAGATTTTAGCAAAAGTGTGTTAATGTCCAAAAAGATATAAGAAGGGCCGTTTTCACCGAAACAAAAATTATATTAGAAATAAATTAATAAATTGTCTTTATGTTTCAACTGAATTCGTTTAATTAAAGATATCTTTCTATACAACACATATAATTTTTACAGTTTTGTCCTCTACAGCAATATTTAGCGCTGAATAATTATATATTTACTTTTAGTTAGATATGTAAAGTTGTTGAAAATGGTTGAAGTATTTTATATAGACTCTTTAGTATTCGAATTCCAGGAGGTCTCAACAACTTCTTGAATGTCACAAACATCAAATCACATTCATCGAAAATTAGCCCTACTTCTTTACTAAGGGTGGCGTGAATCAATTGTGGATACTTAAACATTCGAAAGAACTGTTAGAGTATATACAATCTAAGTCTCTTTCTTCTTGCAATAGTATTAAAACATTTGTCTTTTCTACCCTATTCCCCATTCCAAACTAAAAGACAAATTGAAAGAATTGATACTGCTTTGTTTCATAAAAAAGAATAGCCAACGTAGATACAAGTATGGTGTTCAGTCAACAAATTTGATCGATTTGGGTTAACGGAATGACACACGGCTGTATTTTATATAATTAAAAAGAGGAGAACAAGCCTCATCGAAATACTGATATTCGAAATTTTTACATAAGATTCGATACAAGTGATCTCTAGAGATGTTTTTTTTAAGATATTAACATTTATAAGTTGCCCTCCCAAAATGTTATTTTTTCCAACATTTGATAGACGGTGTTCGTAATGATTTTCTGGGTAAATATCCAATTTTCTTTTAATGAGTATTGAAACATATTAAATTGTACTTAGTTAAAAAAAAAATGGTGTAATATTAACGCAGAATGGATTGAATTAGCAGGTCTTAGTAAATTTATGCCGTATAGAAATCAGAAATACTGGAAGCGATGAAAAAGGGGGAGGGTTGTCTGTTGAAGTTGATAAATGACAATTAGAAACAGTATAATCACTCCATCTTACACACTTATATGACTTATTGATCATAAATTGGCCTACAATTGACATGAAGTCAAAGATTATCTTCATAAAGAGGGTTATGTACAGCATCGATATATTTTACAAACACTAGTCAACAACATCAATCTAATTAAAATATAGTTCTCTGATTTCGTTATACTCATAATTATGAGCTTATATATACGAGCATGCGAGTTAATATAGATCATAATTTTAATCAGATTGATACAACGTAGAAAAACTGGTAGCTAGTACGTTTCATTGTCTACTGTTAAGTTGAAAGACAACCGATCAGGTCTGGGCTAGAGAGCTAATTTCAGTTTTTTTTTTAAATCGCATTCGACGCAGGTCGCAGAATGAGAGGCATACATAATACAATCTGATGGTGGCAGCGGCAACGCAGTAAACCATTTGTATAGCTTTATATTAAAGGAGTTAATTCACATTTTGTATATAAAACCATTGTGTTGCGAAGTTCCCGTCTGTCATATAATCACTGTCCTTGACCTCATTTTCATGGTTCAGTGACTGCTAGAAACTGTATAGCTTGTCTTCGTCATGTGAAAGTCTCACTTATCATGAGTTCTAGGATAACTTAATTTGGATACTAATATATGGTATCTTTGCAAGGTCTACATTTCCGTCAGACATGGTTAACCTGTCCTCGACCTCATTTCATGGATCAATGAACAAGGTTAAGTTTCAGTGGTCAAGTCCGTATCAGATACTATAAGTAGTTGGTCATAAATATTTGGTGTATGGAATAATAGCAAGATGTACATGTTTTTGTGGCAGAGTTCATCTGACCATACCTCATTTACATGGACAATTGATAATGTTCATTTTACGTAATACTTGTTGTATTATATAAAAATAAGGAGAAGTGGTATGATTGCAAATGTGACAACTGTCTATCAAAGTTCAAATGACGTGGAAGTAAGCAGTTATAGGCAACCGTACAGCTTTCAACAATGAGAAAAACTCATACCGTATGGTCGGCTATAAAAGACCCCGTATGAAAAATTTGAAACAATTCATTCGAGATAACTAACGGCCTCATTTATAACAAAACAGTTTACCAAAAAAATATGACAGACATGAACCAACGGTAGCAACTCAAATACCTGCTCGATCCTGACTTGGGATAGGCATGTAAAGAATGTATAATCCTTTTCTCTAAGACTTTCGACATAATTCAGTTAGTTATTTAAGCATGATGTACCAGTATAATCCTAGTTTTTACGGTAATTGTGTTTATGATCATACTTTTCTCAAACTATTGATGATGTCCTTTCAGTAGGGGGACGACCATTTTGATTTCGAATTTGCGGGGGGGGGGGGAGATTTTGAAAATGAATGACTTGATAAATTGGCCTCGTATGAACTGAAAATAGGTGACTTTGCACAAGTCAGGATGAAAATGTATACTCTGCAAAATGAAATGCAGGTTAGTTGAGAATTCAAATGTGTACAAAGTGAAAATAAATTTTCGCGCAGCATAGCCGCCGAAAACAAATAGGCATGCGTACGAACAGATGAAAAAAATGGTCAATTCGGTAAAAATTCTCCTGCCGCCAGCCGATTGTATGAGTCAAGCCATTTCCAACTGTATTTTGGCATATTCTTATGTTGTGTTGTTATACTATTGGTAAGGAGAGGGTCGAAGGATCACAAACATGTTTAACCCCACCAAATTATGTATGTGTCTATTCAAAATCAGGAGCATGCAATTCAGTGGTTGTCGTTGGTCTCTGTCTGTTGTATCTGTTTTTTGTTGTTGTCATAAATGGGACCGTTAATTTTTTCGTTTGGATTGTTTCACATTTGTCATTTCGGGGCCTTTTATAGCTGACTATGCGGTATGGGCTTTTCTCATTGTTGAAGGCCGTACGGTGACCTATAGTTGTTAATATCTGTGTCATTTGGTCTCTTGTGGAGAGTTGTCTCATTGGCAATCATACCTCATCTTCTTATTTTTATATGTTGAGAAAGATGTTTGTGAACGGTATCGATTGACATGGAAAAATTGTGTTTAAAATACTCCGGCGAAATGTGTTTGGAATCGATAGTATTATAGTATCTAATTTAAAGTACAGTGACGGACCATCGAAAACTAGATAACATTTTATTATGACAATTTTTAAAATAAACCTTACATAATCGTGAATATATAGTTAGCAATATACAAAAGACATATTACTGAGTTAATATTTATTGATGAAAGATCTACTTAAAGTTAATCTTTGATTGCTCCTTATTTTTCTAATGCTCAGACACGTAAACTTAAAAATTATCATATTTTTTTTTAAATGCTAGCAATATTGCTGCTCTTAATTTAAACAGCCAATCTGAATGTTGCCAGTTTGCCATGTATGCCATTCGTTATCAAACTTACTTGAAAGTTCAAAATCGAAAAATGCAAGTAAATACCTCTAATAGCAGAACAATTAGATTTCACTATTAAGCGGTCATTTGTGCATTCTGTCGCCATCTCCAATTGTTGTCTGCACCGTGAACTTATGTTGAGAACAGTGACACGAAATTCTTTCCTTTCTTCAAAAATTGGACAAACTTGATATATTTGACCCGAGGAGGATTTAAGACTGACGCTGGAATTGTCAGCATCTACAAATGAATTTTAAATTGAAATAGTTTAATACTTCAAGCTGCACATGGATCTGTAGAGAGTATTATGCAATATTTTCATACCAGATATATATAAAGAAACGTTTAACAAAAAAAGCAAAACGATGACAGGAAAAAACTACAGTAGATTGTCATTCTTAATGGTCATGAATAACAACCGATAATTTGTGTTTTGTCCTATGGAATGTCAACTCTTTGTTGAGAAATATGTCCATCAAACGTTATACGTGGTCAACAAAAAAAATCCAGCATCTTTTTAACTCTAATTTCAGGGAAGTTTTTGTTTGAATCAAAGTGGTTATTTTACAAAGTATGATTTGTCTTTGCCGAAAACAAGATATTTGTATCTACCTTATCATGTTTTAACAAAAGGATTTACTCTACCAAATTTAGAAAGTAAAGGGCAGAGCTTTAGTATTCACATCTAATTAACACCACCCTAGTAAAGAAAGTTAATCTGAAGCCTGATTGTGATAACTATTAGTCTCTACATTGTGCATGCACGTGTTTTTGTCGGTTTTTTATTCCAAAACTTCACATAAATCAACATAAAGAACGATATGGCGGGCTCGCCTATATTTTTGAATATCTTTCAAAAATACTATAAACGTTCTTTATACGGTAAAAGTATTGTGATGAGGTACACGTAATGACGTATACTCAACATAAGGTGCCATCAGATGTGGATTCTCAAAAATCATTTAGATCTTCTCCAAAATCTTCAAAAATGATCGGTAAAATGTTGCAATAATATTAAAATTTATGACTCTTATTTCCCCAATGGAAAGGTCTACTTCATCTTCTTATAAAACTACGCTTTATCTACAAATTTCTTATATAAAGTGTGCCGATACAATACCCATCTCCTGTTCTGGCTGCATTACTGCCAAACAAGTCATCTTTCAGAAAGGTTTAAGACCAGGAGCATGACAAAATTAGAATAGGATTTTTAAAATTTGGGATCCATGTCATGGTAAAATAGTGTTACTTGAGAAACAGAAACTGTAATAATCAATCATTTTATTATGACGATCATACTCCTGAACAGAGTGTTTCATTCGCTCTTTTTTATAGCCTTGTTCGTGTGCTAGTAGTTTAAAACATGTGCTTAATATATACAAGTATAACCATTTACTATGCATAATGAAATGATACATTATGAAAAGTTTTTGTTGTCTCTTGTATAATTGTGTGCATACTTAGGAACGATTTACAGCTTGACACCTAACTATTGTTGAAGGCTTTATTTTACCCTCTTGATGGCGTTTGTTAATTTATTTCAATAATTGGTACACAGTCTCATTGACGTATAGCACAATTTATACACATTGATTGTGTATCTTAATGTCCCAATGAACATCCCATCAATTCCATCAATACTAACTCAAGAATACAGCTTATCTTGGTGGAGAACGTTGAGTTCCTTTATCCAATTTTTGAGTATCAAAGCAGTGATTACTCTGGTCAATTATAAGGACTTTCATACGACCGAAGCCATCGGGATTGTGGTCCGACCGTCTAGAGTATTCGCTCACTGGGATATATGGCTTCTCTGGAATATCGTTCTAGTGCGCCTTCATTTAGGCGTTTTTTAATGGCTGCTTAGAGTTAACAAAATATCGACTGGTCATTGCTATTGTATCATACGCAATTCGATTCGATGAAGTTGTTATTGATTCAACTTTAATTGTTTACCTGTTGATACTTGTCCTACGTGTATTATGCCAGAATAAGATTTTTTTTATTATGATATAATAATTGTTTATTAAGCCAGGGATGGCAACTCCAGACCTGAAGGTAAAGTTCTGTAAGAAATTATAAAATGTTCACTTGTTTTTGGATTACCAATTCTAGTAATGATTTGCCTTATAATAAGTTTTCTGTCCTCCTTGGAAACTTAGCAAATTTACTCATTGATTTTCTATACAAACATATATGATACAACTTGATAAGTTATAATTTAACTTTGTTGGAAGTTCGTTATCTGAATAATTTAGCCATTAAAATATAATCAGGCATCCAGTTGAAATTAAACAAAGGAAAATGAACTCCTTAATAGAGAAGGTATTATAGACAAATTGATATCTTTGCATTTTGTTTGGCCCGTTGGTTTTAGAGCAGCCAACGTACGACAACAACTTTGTTGAATACGGAACGGAGGCCATGTTATTGCTATTTTGGTCCCAAAATTTGTTTTTCCTGAAAGTCAAACGTTTTTTTTTTTTTCTTTCAAAAATATGCGTGCTTTTTATGCTGTCCTTTGGTGCAAAACGAAACAGAGGTATGACAGAAATATCAGGTAGAGTATCATTCTGCCCCAGTGATAAAGTTTTGGTACTATTGCCCTGGTCATTCTTTCCAAGCCATATATTAGGGTCCATATGAAGTTGAGTTCAAGACTAGTTAGAACGCCATTTGGCGAAAACAAAATCAACAAAACGCCATATATATGCTAAAAAGCATATTTTGAGAGGGAAAAGACTGCACTAAAAAGCCAGTTGCAACCTTAGCTGTCCTAAAATTTATGATTAGATAGATAAAAAAAAAGGGCCATTCCAATTATGATAGTAAATGTGATCTATTAAAATTTTAAGTTCCTTTTACTAAAAAAGATAAAAAAAAATATTTATAACACCATTATGATTGTATCAGTATAAACTCAATAAAGTCATGTCTTAAGCAATTGAATAATTATGCTCCTGCCACCTTTCAAATGTTAATGAACAGGGTAACCTTTTTATTTAGAAAGTTTTGAATATTTTATTGATAATGTTTTAATTCAAATTGTCCATCGTATCCATACATTTCCCGTATCCGCCACATTTTCGTACATGGCAGCATTTCCCTCCATTGTCTTGATGTCATCTTTAAGGGTGAACGTGTCAGTAAGGAAAACTCATTCTCCTTTGTGAACATTTACCTTCATTTCACATCTCTTCCTTTTCGTATAATTTTGTCGTCTTTATAAGTTTCTATTTATTCCAGGTATGTCTTTAAATCAGTTTCATCTACTTTTGTTAAGACGGCCAGGATGACGAAGATGCAAGGGCATCGAGTGCGGGTTTAGCATCATCAACATATTGAATGATTCAGAAAGTAAATGCGCGACATTTTTTCCTGGTTCGCTTTCAAGATCGAGCGTTAATCTGGGTAATTTAAAAAAAAAATTCTTTTCCAAATATGCAAAGTACACAGGATAGTACGCTCTTATAGTACCAAAGACAACAGTAACCATACGATTTCAGTTAACATCGTCTTATCAGAATGGTTTTGAAAAAAAAACATGTATTGCATTAAATGAAGATCTAACAAATGTTGACCTTTCTGTTAAAGTAAGAGGTTAAGATTACTTGACCTTCGAGCCAGAATTTAATCGTGTTCTCTATTCAAGGAACATATTTTAACGAGTCAATTGCAGTAAAATAGAGGAGCAGGTAATCGCTCGACTCTTAATTCATAGAAAACCGACAAATTATCTTAATAATTACATGACTTACCTGCTTCGTATAATGTCCATTCTGTATTTACTCCAGAAGAAAATATTGCTTGATACATAGTTCCCTTTTGTGAATAATTTTGTACTGTTTTTCGCAAAAGTTTGTTATCAAACAAATGTATTGTTCCAAATTTAAAAACACCTCCTTTCCAGCTGATAGAAATGTTGTGAAAGTGAAGGCAACTCACACTGATCCTGAACATACTTGAATCATTTATATTAATTATTGTATCAGTGGTATTTCTAGTTTCCATTATGAGTTCAATTGTACGGTTGACTATTTTTTGCAAAAGTGTTACATTACGTGGACATCCTTTAGAGACGGTAAGATACAGAGAGTCTTTGTTGACAACTTTTTTGAAGTACGGTACACTAAAATTACTAGTCTCATTTGCTGTAGTAAATTTAATTTCTCTTAATGGTTGTCTATCCAAATCTAAATATTCCAACAACAAAAAACACACACATATATGTATATGTATATTTAAAAAATACATTCCTATGAACTATTTCAATGACCTAGTGGGTAAAATAATACTTGATACAAATTCAAATTTCTATTTGCCGTAGCAAATTTAATTTCTCTTAATGGTTGTCTATCCAAATCTAAATATTCCCCCAAAAAAAACCCACACACATATATGTATATGTATATTTAAAAATACATTCCTATGAACTATTTCAATGACCTAGTTGGGAAAATAATACTTGAAACAAATTTAAATTTCTTTTTTTCTCAATTATTCTCTATGCAATTAGGCGTCTTATATAACATCCGACTTTGCATACATATCTGCCAATAAAGTTCCATTACACTTAACAATAAAACAACTCGTGGTTCATTGCTTCTTTGAGAATAACATTGACGGTAAAAGAATTACTGCAATCCAAACTTGAACCCCTGGTTTGTCAAAAATGTAATCACAACGAACAGAATTTAGCTTACCTCGCAGTCGATTCAGATATAGTAAAACTAACGAAACTAAAAATACATTCGATAAATACGGTTAAGATTACGATCGATCAATAAAAAGGACAAATACAAATTGTCAACAAAAAGTTTCAAGCGGCATTTTGGAAGATGATGAACAGAGTATTTAACAAACGAAATAAGTGTCCCGATCTTTAATGAAAGTGTTTTAGAATCATTTCAAAGTATTCAATGAAGTTGACAATTTAAGTATACAGAAGAGAATTTTTGATTCTGCAGGTATCTCAGATGATATTCTTTTTCTATTAAAAAGAATCACAACAGAAATGGAGATACAGTATTATGTTAAAATCCTACAGCAACGTTCCATATCCAAATTTTTAAGGGATAAATTAAAAGAATTGTATCATCCCTTCGTAAATTTTACGGACGCCATCACGAGTTGGTTGACCGTTATGGAATAACCGTTTCACAGATGATATCGGATATGTTCCTTATGTCGTAACTACAATACCTTTCCCTTTTCACGAATGTGACCTACCGAATTAGACTATTTACCGGATTTGTAATAACATAAGCAACACGACGGGTGCCACATGTGGAGCAGGATCTGCTTACCCTTCCGGAGCACCTGAGATCACCCCCAGTTTTTGGTGGGGTTCGTGTTGCTTAGTCTTTTGTTTTCTATGTTTTGTCATCTGTACTATTATTTGTCTGTTTGACTTTTTATTTTTGGCCATGGCGTTGTCAGTTTGTTTTCGATCTATGAGTTTGACTGTCCCTCTGGTATCTTTCGTCCCTCTTTTGGTACGCCAGAAGCGTGTATCGGTAACATCAAACTCATCCGTGATGCTCGAATCAAAAATGTTGGAAGGCCAAATCAACTACGAAGTTGAAGTACATTGAAACCCAAATATTCCGAAACGTTGTGCCAGCTACGGCTAAGGCTGTCTAAGCCCTGTGGAGATAAACTTCGAATAATTCCAAAATTTTTTAAACATTACATTTACAGAAACTATTAAATATTCAATTTGGTACTTGGTTGTTCATATTACGATTTAAAAAAAATATAAAGGGGTTAAAGGGTTTACAAAGAACCCTAAGTCTTTAACTTTTAAGATTCGGTTTGGTAAAGCGTTTGTTCCCATAATTTATAATTATAGACTAACTATGTATACTAATCAGCTCATTCTGATATTTAAAGCTTAGGATGGATTTCGAGATTTTGTCGTTAAAAAAATTAATGAGTAGTGGAAATCAAATCCCACTCAGAGGATCACAGACTACAAAGCTTTACTCAAGTAATAAAAAATGCTTTTGTCGAGCTTCAAAGATGAAATAACTTAGTAACAATAACTTTTCCAAAGTGTGAATAAAATTAGATATTTCATAAATAAAAGGTTTATACATGTAGTTAAGAAAAGACATCAAAAGCAAGAAATTGTTAGATAAAAAATATTCCAAGTGATGACTACATGTACTTGAAATTTGCACCGTTCATTCCTAATATCATATGAGATTCTATGTTGCAAAACTTTTTTATATTGAGTTCTTCCGTTCACATGACGATCTCTGTTCATCACCTATCGTCGGTGTGGAAAAATATTTCTCTAATTCTTACACGATTTATCCTTTTCTGACCTCTTGATTATTTTTATTTATCAAAGTGTGGTTCGTTTGATCTCAGTTCTGCATTGGTCAAAATTTGATTATGAAATCAAATTTTCTTGCTTTCCTCTGAATTTCCTATTGTGACGTCATGAAAAAAGGCGACCATGCCTGATGACGTCACATAGAAAGAACACATCTTTTTGCAGATCATTCGAAAGAAAGTATCGAATTTGTCTGCATAGATCGTTTAAAAATCATTAGAGAAACAGATTCCACCACCAAATCTTGTGCAATACGATATTTATCCACTCTCAAAAGATGAATTTTAAATATAAAAAAAACGCTCAGCGAGTCTCGCGTTTTAAATTTGAAAATTAACTGTCTCGAGTGGATAAATATCGTATTACACTCGATATAGTGGTTGAATCTATATATATATCTGTTTGACTGTAGAGTTTGAAATTATTAATTTTTGCAATTTTACTATGTTTATGTATTTTGAGACACTGAATGCGGGAATGAATCATTAACGAATTGCTTTGTATTGACACGCCATTATAAGTTAGTAACTAATTACGTTACGAGGCTAAAAATAATATTTTGGCACAAAGATCTTTTGTATGTTGAATCTCAAAGAAACAATGGTCTATAGAAATGAAAGAAAAAATGGCCTGTTTGAAACTTATATTTTTCGATACCAATAATAAAACAAATTTCAAATTAACTTCTCTTCTCAATCATATTATATAAGAATGTTTGTTTTCTACAAAGTCGGGGTATATAGGACTTTTCATGTCCATCTGATTGTCTGTCCGTATGTCACACTTTTGTTTTGCAGATGATAAATAGAGAAAGCTTTTTGAAATTAATTAAAATATTGATAGAATGCTTTGGACCACTAAATACTGGTCCACTTTGATTTTCTTTTTTCGCTTTAACCGTTCCAGAGTTATGGAACTAGTTATATAACTAGGTTTAACTCACAATTTTTTTTTCGGATATTGCAGTGTAGTTGGTTTTTTTTACAAGTTTGGGTGATTGATAGCGTTTATTTTTTTCAGTTTTTATAGACTTCCTCTTTTTTGCATTTTTTTAATTTACCTTGGAGTTCGGTATTTTTTTTAAACTTTTTTTATGGTACTTGATTGCTGAAAAAAATTACAAAACTTTCTTTATTATATGAATTTACTCTTTCATTCCTTCCAAAACTGAAATCACGATAGAATTTGCAGTTTATATTGTTTGTTTGTCTAAACATCAGCATGCAGATGAGCACATGCCTTGAAATTGGATAAAGAAAAGATAATATTTAAGTAAGGAATGTTTCTATAGTCATTACTGCACCCCTACTATTTTTTCATATTTATATTGAATTGCACTTCATAGCTCTAAAGAATATTTAAATGTATAGTGACCAAATGTTATTCCTATACACTACTTTTGAACTATGGCAAAATTTTTACAATATATTAATATACTTTAAAGTATGCTGCTATAGAAACCAAATCGTGATCTCGCAGTTGTTGCTAGAAGGGTATCTGTGACTTCGTAGTCTAGATCACCTCTCTAGTTGTTTTTGTCAACTTTATTTAGAACCAAGGAAAAGCACGTGAGTCATGTGTAATTCTGACATGATTAAACTTACATTCGTATTCACAATATTTTCCTGTATATTCATCGGGACAGATGCATGCGTTGATTATGCATTTTCCACCATTTAAGCACCGAACACTACATAGATCTATCGAAATAAGACTGAACAATACAAATAAATATTTTCCAAATGTATTTTGCAGAACTGATATTCGTTAGGTGAAACAACATGAGCATACTTATGTACTGATCAATGTTATCCGACACATCCACATATATTTCATTAACTTGATAAAAGGGCACCATGATACTCGTTTTTGGATCTCATGCAAAAAGACTTGACGATCTCTTTACCATCTCTAATCGTCGATTGGGGGAAAGTACCATTTTGTTACCCTGTGCAGTTTAATGATTTATATGTTATTTTACTATGTTTATGTATTTTAAGAAACTTAATGCGGGAATGAATCACAAGATAAAAACGAACTTTTTGAATGAACATTACACCTGATTTTTGTAACCGTAAAAACACATCATACTAATGAAGCCCGCCTCCGTGTGCGGGATATGCTTGCTGTGTTGAAGACCCGACCCGTTGGTGGTCTTGGGCTGTTTTCTGATTTTTTTTCGGGTAGTTGTCTTTTTGACGCATTCCCCATTTCCAATCTCAATTTTATTTTATACTAGTATACAGTTAACATAAGATATTTCATTGACACGCCGTTAAAATTAACTTACCACTTACGTTTCAATGCTAAAGAGAATATGTGACACAAAGACTTTTTGCATGTCGATTCTCCAAAATTAATTTTTTAGAAATGAAGGGAACATTACCCTTTTGAAAATTAATTCTGTAATATTCTTGTAATAAAAAAACAAATGTAATTAACCGTCGTATTTTATAGGTTGATTTTTTTTAAAAAATTTATGTTATTTAGATCCCCGAAGAAAGATGAGCCATTTATAATTCTAATGTAATAAAACTTACTTTTGATTTCACAAATGTTTCCTGTATTTTCATTAGGACAGTTGCATGAATTAATGAGGCATGTTCCACCATTCAAACACTTAACACTACACGACGGATCTATGAAAAAAGACTGAGCAATTCAAAATGAATCTTTTCCAAATGTATTCAACAGAACTTATATTGGAAATGTAAAAAGATATGAGCATATTTATATACTGATATTTTTTTCAGACAAATACACAGAAATTTTTATTAGCTTGATAATATGCCACCATATTACTTATTTTAATCTTATTCAATTGACATGGCGATATCTTTACCAACCATTCCTAATCGTCTGTTGGGAAAAGTTCGATTCTGTTTTCCTCTGCAGTGTAATGATTGATTTGCAATTTTACTATGTTTATGTATTTTGAGACACTGCATGCGGGAATGAATCACAAAATAAAAACGAATTTTTGATTGAACATTTTACCTGTTTGATTATTGTTACCTTGATTACATGTATACAATTAACATAAGATATTGTATTTGACACGCCGATATAATTATCTTACCATTATCTTACTTATGATGCAAAAAGAACAAAATGAAATGATTTTAAAAAAATGCACACAGTAAATTTTGCAATTCTTAGACTTCGTTCATTTCATGGTTAAAATATCACTTTCTAATTTGTTGTGTTTCAATGATTGTTATTATCTTCCTGTAATTTTTGTATAAATTCAGTAGTAATTCTAATCTAAATAATTTAAGGAGTATAAAAGGTAAGTTTATATCAAGAACACAATCTGTCAGTAGAAGAAAATACAAACCAAACCAAGCCAGAAAGAAAGAAAGAAAAAAGACGAAAACGCAAGCAATGATCAACAAAACACTTAAGAAGTTAATTGAGCAACACAAATCCAACCAATACCCGGGAGGAACTCTTATACTGGCTTATGGTAAGCAGTCCCTGTGCCACCTTTGGCAGCCTTTATGTTGCTCATGACAATTAAAAATATGATGATAAGCGTATTCACTGATGTTTCTGAAACAGAAGACAGAATTGGGTCAGATTAAAATAACGAAAATACCAAACTCCAACGAACATTCCCAACGGAAAGTGACTTAACAAATGGCAAAATTAAAATCTCAAACACATCAAACGAATGGAAAATGGACTTGGTACAGGAATTTCCTTACCTTCCTAAAAAGAACATAAACACAAAAAACTGATTCTTAAAAATGATTGAGGAGTGGGAACCTTAGTTTCTTTATAATTTCTTAATTTATGAACGGGAAGTTATTTCGGAAATTTATAACGTATTTTTTTTCATTTTATTCAGCACTGCGTTGATACCTCTGCTGGTAAACTATCAGTTCCCGAAGGTATCGTCAGCTCAGTAGTCAGAACTTCGGTACTGACATGATTTATCACAAATCTTTCTAAGATTGTCTAAGATAAATAATAAAAAATAATAAAAAAAAACCTTCTGGCAAAGTTGACCTGAGATGTAGTTGGCTATTTTTTTTTTTTTTTTTTTTTTTAGGTCTGTTTGGTCTTGTAGCTCTTCAACTGTTTCGGTTCGTATACAATATTTGTCTTTGAGCGTTCCTGATAAAAATAAGTCGAGGAAAGCGCTTCGAACACATGAAATGTATAACGTGTTGTTTCCATTTTAAACATTAAGAGGTAGTGACCAAACTTTGAACTATTCAGCAAGAGATCATTTATAAATCTGGACCAAAACAAATAATGAAATATTCAATCTTACTCTTACAGTGCACATTAGTTCATCCCTTGCTATGTTTTTAAGGGGTTCATATTGTTTTTGCCATAGTTTTTAGTGTTATATATAATGCTATGTTTCAATATTGTTAAACAAATACCAGTTTTGTCGATCCTTGTCCTGAATCTTTATTTCCAACCTTTCACATTCACACTCGGTCAAGTTTAAGGGTAAGATAACTTAGATGAACTTGTGGTTTAGGAATTTGTTGATGTCTAAACGTGAAACACTAACCAATCCGCTATTTTATGATGCATAATCAGCTCATTTGACTCATTTACGTATTTCAATAAGAGAAACACGTCTAAAGCGTATAAGGAACTACTGACCAGTCAAGATCACCTTAATTTGCTCCGGTTTTTTGTAGAGTAGCGTTTCCTTAATCTTTAGTTTTCCGTTAAGTGTTTTCTGATCTTTCGTTCCTTTTCATTTCGGCCATATTAAGTCAGTTTTATATTCATTCTAAGATCTTTTACTGCCACCTTAGTGTCTTTTTCTTCTTTATGAATCAGTATTAAAATGTGGCCATCTTAACTTCCATCTGGCAGTAAGAGCAGGGTTGAAGTGTGTTCGTTTGGCCGTCCTGGATGTAATAAAACGCATCCAAAGCCTCGTGTTTGGATTGTAAACACCCTTTGACTTTAGAAAAAAAAACGTTGCAACAACTCTGTACAGGGTCAAATACATGTAATATTTTATATATATACAGGCTTTTCTAAGTAATGGTTAACTTTACAGAAATTCATGGCTATCCTTTCAGTTGAAAGAAACGACTTATGTGACTGATATTGCTGTCGGATGTTAGTTGACTTCTTCTTAAAATTGCTATGGATAAAGCCTACCTTATACGAATAAAGGAACAAGAATACGGGCATAGTTGGTTTCCTAAGGTTATCGACTATCCATTGAAAAATGCGTCCAACAAATGTATTACATATGGGGAAGGTGGTAGTTTTAGAGATTTATCGTTAGAAAAAGAGTGTTTTAACAAAGATTGATTTGTCTTTGCTAAAAACAATATCTTTTTTGTCTAGATTTACCATTCCCTTTTTTAAACATAGATAGAGTAATGTTTTAAACTGTGTTTGAGGATTGTTCAGCGTGTAAAGGCCTGAAAGGTCAACTGTTTTACTTTTGTACAAGATATAAATGTTGATATTACATGTACGTATTCTAAGAGATCTTTGTATTATTTATTATCGTAATTCAATTTATAACGTTTTACAGTAGAGTTTCACTGTAACTCTGTGGTCCTATATTGAGTGTTGATAAACTTAGCAGCATAATGCTTTTGTTGACACATATGCTATATAGGTATTCAATAGACGCCACAAAGATACGGTATGCGAATTATACAACAATGCAATAAACATGGGGAAAACACGTGTACTTGTTAGTTTTAAATAATTGCCATCTTATTGTTCCACATCATCAAACAGTGATTACTGCAAAATTTACAACGATGAACTAAACCGAACCAAGATTCCTCTACTAATAACTTCGGGTTTAATCTTTCTTTGATCTTCATTAAAAATAATGTATTTGTACTTCGAATAAATATGTGGGAACAATACATCAACCACATACAAAACAATTAGATTTTCAAACCCATTCTATCATTCGCTGACCGGCACGACTCTGAAATTATAACTACCAACATACAAGGAAATTGGTAGTATCTTTTCCTTAATAGAAGACAATACTAACATTTCCCAAATTTGACACTTATTAAAATAAGGTATCTTCAATGCTAATGTAAGGTATAACGAAATACAAATTACAAATGACAAAAGACCAAATTCGAACTGGGAACATATGGTATTTCGATCTATTAATGGCTATAAGGAAGTAAAACGGTAGCTTTGTAACAAAAACATATCTAAAAAGGAAGGACTCAATAACAAATTAAACTGGATCACTTGTTCCTTTAATGCGTTTATCCATTATAAGACATGAACTACAATAAATTAGTGTCTTTTAATACGACCAGGACAACTCATGAACTTTGCTTTCGATATAATATATTAATACGATAGATTTTTGTCCAACAATAGGCTAATTATTTGTTCGCGTTAATACACGTGTTTCAAAGGGTTAATCAAATACAATACATGATATGAAATACTAAAACACGAAAAGAATGTTAAAAGGTAGACAAGAACAATCTGATCTATTTTTTTCTCTAGAATGCTGACAAATAAGTTTTTCGACAGAAAAATTCTTCGTGTCTTCCCATTGCACTTGAAGACGTTTCCTCAATTATTCATGTATTCAGACAAGATTCCCAAATCTTGGCATTTACCGCTTCTACGGCAGAAAAAAACATTTCTACACAACAAAAATTTAGTAATAACGTTTTTATAACTATCACTAGATGTTATTAACATGCATGTCTTTAGTAAATGTGTCATTTTACAGTACTTACCCGTCTCTTCTATTCCAGAACAATATGCAGCTTCCCAAATAAACAGAAGAGAACAATGAATTAATATCGTGTATATCGCCATATTTAAGGAAAGTTTCAAACATGTCCACTAATGTGCGGAAGTTTAAATACTTATTTCAATGCAATATATACGATTGTATTCACAAAAGATCAAATTATTATTCAGTTTCGTCACGCCATAAGTATTTCTCTAGACGTAAAGGAAGTTTAAAAAATAGTTTTAAAAGTTGAAGGATGTTAATTTTTCTTCAATACTTATGTCGTGGTTTTTTTTAAAGATGATTAGATAAGGCAGCAAATTGTTACTGTCAAAGGACAATTTTCTATGTAGATTATGGTTGAGAACAAATAAAAAATTAGTCAATCAATTATTAAAAGTTATTGCAGCAATAAAAAAATAATCGGAAAATTTGTTATCGATACAGAACGTGGGAATATGTTGAAATGAGGTTAGATCAGAAATTATCACCTTTGAACTATTCTGAAGATCGAGTTATGAGAAAGTGATCTTTCAAATCACTCTCCGAATACATGACAGTGAACCTTTTAGCTGTAATAGAGAAAAAGTTGCATGTAATTTTGTTTTCTTCTAGATGTACGTCTCAAATTAATCGAGATTTTCCGACCTTCTAAACATGAATAAATTTCTGAGCACATTTTGTAAATCAGAGAGCTTAAATATTTTGTTCGTAAAAAATGTATAAACATTACTACCAAAAATATATACCTCATAAATATTTCATAAACAGAAAAGCTCAGTTGTTTATAAGGAAAGCTAACACATATATCCCTTTCAATTTGAATGTTACCTCTTTGTGTAACCATAAAGCAAACAGCAAAAAAATAATTGAAATATTCAGTTATGGTGAATATTCTTTTTAAGAGACTTACAAACTTTTTTCTCTTGTACAGAGTTTATATATCGAGTTAGCCTCATTCCTAAAAATTTTTATGGGTTTGTGGGAGATTTCTTTCACCGTCAATTCATATATTCACGGTAGGTATAGTGTCCGGCTAGGATCGTGGCTTTTCGAGTGATTTGATCGGGTTTTTTTCGAGTGTGACCACTTTTTTTCGAGTGAATATGATCAAAAATGTAAACGAACAGACTTACTTTCTTTAAAGACGTGATATAGAAGCTTGATTTTAATATACAAGGATATACAAGGTGTGTTAGTATTTGAGATAAAAAGATATTATCAATCCGACATTATTTTTCGTTCAAAAAGTTGAATTTAGCCTTACAATGCTTTTATTCCAAAAAAAAAACAGAATAAAGCCATTTTTATACACATACCAATGCAAACGTCGATGGACATGTATACATGGAATCCATATATCCTTAGATATACAGACACTTTACAAAAATTCTTGTTGTTGCAATGAAAAACGATATTTTGAGACTAAATTCATTTCTATGTGTTCGGGTTTTTTCGAGAGCAGTCCGGGCTTTTTTGAGTGCGTCCGTGTTTTATCGAGTGATTATACAAATTTCCTATAGCTTAGAATGTTATGTGTCAGTGTATTTACGTTTAAAAACAATAAAAAAGGATTCAAATTATGTACTTTTTAAGGCACGAAACCAATGCATTCATCAGTTTAATAAAGGTGTACTAACTCTTAGACTTTATAAACAAGTATCAGCCATCTGTATATATTGCTGTTTGTCACATCTAATAAATTACATGTACAGTATATATTCATGATGTCAACAATCTAATGTAAGCATAGACAATTTTGATTGAGACGTACGTACAAAGAGTGAATTAAACTGATGAATTATACATTTCATTATTAACTATATATGAAATTTAATTCAGATGTTATTGTCAATGGGAATAAAACTGGTCGGATTAAGTGTCTTTTAGTAGAATATTTTTTATGACATATAAAAAAAGAAATAATGAGACAACTCTCCACAAGAGACCAAATGACACAAAAATTAACAACTATAGCTTACCGTACGGCCTTCAACAATGAGCAAAGCCAATACCGCATACTAGTAGTCAGCTATAAAAGGCCCCGAAATGACAAATATAAAACAATTCAAACGAGAAAGCTAACGGCCTAATTTATGTAAAAAAAATAAATGAAAAACAAATATGTACACATCAACAAACGACAACCACTGAATAACAGGCTCCTGGCTTTGGACAGGCCCATTCATACAGAATGTGGCGGGGTTAAACATGTTAGCGGGATCCCAACCCTCCCCCTAAGCTGGGACAGTGGTTTAACAGTACAACATAAGAACGAACTATAAAAATCAGTTGAAAAAGGCTTAACTCATTAGATGGATACAAACAGAAATATATCTAACAAAAACAAATGCATTTTTTCTGATTCTTCTCTACTGTCCAGTAGGTTTCTTACTCCGTTTTTTAATAAACAGCTGCGCCATGGGCGCATGATACGCCCGTCGCGTTTTCAAAGAATAAAGTTCGTTATCGCTATTTTACGAAATTTTCCTTTGATCTTGCTGACTGATAATTTCCTTTCTCAGCGGAGTCGAGTGATATGAAAAATTATCGCTAGAAACTAATGGGGCACGTGGCTAAGGAAATTGACATGAAATTGACAACGTCGTCAAAGGTAAAATAGCGATAAATAGATTATCATTGGTCATCTCAACTCGATTGCTTTTCTCACTTTCGCCGTACCGGCTCAAGCGAGAAAATCAATCTCGTTGAGATAATCAACGATAATCTATAACTCTCTTATGGTTGTGGCTTATTATATATTTCTTGCATGAATATACATTTCTCATATCACACTGCACAGAGTGTGATACGAAAATCTGCGTTGATTTGATTTGCTTATCCAGCATCATAAGACGATATTACGGCATTTCCGTTGGCTATTCGTTAGGTTATTGATGACCATCAAAGGTTACGACGATGTACATTTCATGTGCAAAATACTATACCATCGATTTGCGGAATTTTTAATTTGACACAATGAATGTGTTGACCATAAGACAAATAGGGTTAACAACTTGTGAGAATGGGGTATCGCTTGATATCAACTCTCGTTATTTAATTCAAGTGAGTAAGTAAGTAAGTAACTTCCTCTCGTTATTTAATTCAAATAGTAATAATAAACTCGCCGGAGCATCGTTTAATATTATATTGAAATTAAATAACTCGAGTTGATATCAAGCGATATCCATTATCACTCGTTATGAAACCTATAAATAATTTCTCAATGTCATATCAAAAATTTATAAAAAAAAAACTAAAAGGGAGGTAACCTTAATCCATATAAAGCAGTCACCAAAGTTTCATGAAAACTTCTCAAAGCACTTTAAAAATATTGTCCGAAAACTGTAAAATCACCCCTTTTTAGCTCACCTGGCCCTAAAGGGTCAAGTGAACTTTTCTCATCACTTGGCGTCCGTCGTCGTCCGTTAACTTTTACATTGTGTCGTCCCGTGCTGCTCGGATATATACGTCTAGAGTTTTAATTGCTGTTGAACAGATCACAATCTGAGCAGCTTAATAACTATATTTTAATGTTAAGGATAGCAGATCATGTGCAACGCAAACATTTTTTACAGAAATCTTCTCCTCTGATACTTATGGAGCAAGTTCATTATAGATAGAGATAACTGTAAACAGCAAGAATGTTCAGTAAAGTTAGATCTACAAACAAGTCACCATCACCAACAGAGAATTTTGCCATGAATTCTATTCTTGTCTTTAATGTTGTAGAGTGTCCTTTGTTTAAATGCACTGCAGCCCATAGACCAAGACGAGCGACACAGGCTCTTTAGAGCCTCTAGTTTGTTAACTAAAATCCTATAACTCGAAAACGTAAAATCAAAAATTTATAAAATTCGAAAAGGAGGATACCTCAATAGATAAAAAAAATTCAACGAAGTTTCATGTAAATTGGTTACAGCGTTTTTGAGTTATTGTCCAACATGCTGACGACGGACGGACAACGGTATACCATAATACGTATCGTATAAAAACTCCGGGGTTCACCACGAAAAATATTATTAACTGTGACAACAAAAATACCATAAAATGAAGTTGAAAAGATTATGAGTGTCCTGCACTATGTTCTTAAGACCTTTTTATAAAGGATCGAATAATTTCTAATTTATGATATAATACTGGAAAGTTGTGGTAGAACGTTTTCCGAACAGAAAATTTGCATTAAATTGAAAAAGGTTAAGTTTGATCAACGTAGTAATATGTTTTGGTGATTTTTTGAGATCATGTGATATTTTCATTCATTAAATTACATTTATATACTAGAAAAGTCATTTTTTAAAGTCAGAAATACCTTTTTTCTTATTGAAATTTTCGATAAAAAAACCCGGACCATTTGTTTAAATACCCGGACGGTTTCACAGTTCCTCTCGAAAAAGCCCGGTCAATAACAAACACTGAGTTTAATGGTTAAATACAAGGAAATTGTGCTTCTTTGTTACTCAAAACATGTATAGTATTCAAAATACGATGGGTAGTCACGTAAAAAACTATAATAATTACGAATAAGCAGTTAATTGACCTGATCGCATGTTTTATCACTCGAAAAAGCCCGATCTACACTCGAAAAAAAAAATGGACAGATTCACTCGAAAAACCACGATCCTAGCCGGACACTATACCTACCGTGATATTAAGAATTGATATTTTTTTCCAAAAAGCGTTGACTATATATTACTGATACTGGGTTCTGATTTTACATAGGTCTGCTTCCTCTCCTCTACATGACTACTCATTAAAGTATTGTTTAAAGTTAATTTGATTCTGCCCAGATGTTTTAAATGAATTTCATATTATTTCATTAACCTTGATAAAAAAGGTAGACAAACTGTATGATATTACATTAAGTGGCGTAGCCACTGTTAAAAAAATTAAGCAGTGGGTCTTGGGGACGGCAGCCTCACAACTAGAATTTTACTGATTTATATGCTACCTTGATTTGATTTACATGCTTATTTGAATTTTAAAATGCCTGCAAACTCATAAACACAAAAATGTGAAGGAAGATATGTCGTTGCTTTCTGATATGATATTCTGATTCCCAGCCTATCAATTTTATTGCTACACTTTGAAAGTTACACTTCTATCCTTACATCAGAAACAAGAAATAACATTGTTTAAATTTAAGAATTGGTAATTTTATTTTGGGTGTAAAAGCGTTGACCGAAGAAAATTTTGTATACAGCGCGGATATGCGTCATACTAAAAATGTGCGTACGTTTAATGCTTTTACAACAGTTACTCCATAAAATTACAAAAAAAGCAATCAATTAAACTATTAGGTTTTTTTTTATGCCTTGTTTCAACGTTGATAGGGAAAGCACGCGCAGCCACAAATGTTGCATTTCATTTGGAAATAAAACAGAACGTTTGGAAAGTTTCGACTTATTAAAATTACGGAAGAGTATGAAATTTTTGTATAATGTAGTTATATAAAAATACAATTCATGGTTTCATCAAATCGGTAAACACATAACAAGTGGTCAGTTATACAGATATATATTACAGTAAAATGTTTCATACGTAAAGGTTAGTTTATGAAAAGATATATACTATGGAATCTACAGCGAGGGTCTTGCCTTGAGCACTTAATTTCATAATATATACCTTTTCATTGACTATCCAATTTAGCACACATTTACAACTCAAGTAATCTTCTAAGTGGTCTATTGATAGTTTATTTTGACTGACTTCTTGTATCACAGGTGTTTGTAAAACGGATTTCATAAACTAAGTTTTATGTTTTATAAATTTACTCAATAGTATCATAGCTATCATATTTGTTCAATTTGTGACAGTGATTAACTAGATCGTGAGTTTATAAATGCAGCAAACACGATTTAACTATTAAACCAAGAGTTCCAAATGGTGATGTTGAAATCATCACTTCGTAAATTTTACGGACGCCATCACGAGTTGATTGACCGTTTTGGAATATCCGTTTCACAGATGATAGCAGATATGTTCCTAATGTCCTAACTACAATCCCGTTCCCTTTTCACAAATGTGACCCACCGAATTAGACTATTTACCGTGTTTGTACTAACATGAGCAACACGACGGGTGTCACATGTGGAGCAGGATCTGCCTACCCTTCCGGAGCACCTGAGATCACCCCCAGTTTTTGGTGGGGTTCGTGTTGCTTAGTCTTTAGTTTTCAATGTTGTGTTTTTTGTACTATTGTGTATGTTTGTCTTTTTTCTTTTTTAGCCATGGCGTTGTCAGTTTATTTTCGAATTATGAGTTTGAATGTCCCTCTGGTATCTTTCGCCCCTCTTTTAGGAAAATAGCGGTTTATATGAAAATCTTACATAAATATGTTTGATTATGAAAGGCCCTTGACTCCAAAATGAAAAGATGGTAGCTGATGTTGTAAGTCTGCACATTGGTATAGAGTGGTGTCTTACTACATGTACTTCTTTACATTGTAAGATGTCAAAATATATTGACCACAAACAGGCATATAAAGTTAAAATACAGTGGGAGCTCTACATGCCATTTTTTTCAATTTCACAGTAAAACTAAAGCTAAGTAATGAATTTGAAAAAAATAGATATATTTGCCCATGTGGATGGCATTAAAAATCGATTACCAATTTAAGATAATTATAGGTTTGTTTTTATTTCAAAGTAAAAACTAAAAGCTTTATCAGAATATAGATATAGGTGGCACATTCCCTTCAGATATTATCACGGTTTTTCAATTCATGATGAAATTGATCAAGTTCCTCAAGATAGTTTTAAAAAATCCTCATCAAGTTACCTTAATTTTCCTTCACAATGTTTCATAGTAAAGTACATACTTTTTTGTGTACAAAGTAATTGCATTGATGAGTAATTACAAAATGTACCACAATTGTAAGACAGCAGTGTACTCTAATCAACGTATTAAGGACCATATTTGATATTCTTAATTTTAAATGATTGAATCTTGAAATTTCAAAAAGATTTTGATAGCAGGATAAATAAAATCAATATGAAAATCAATTACATGTACAATTTTTTTTTAAGTTGGGATACAGCATTGTATTCCAAAATAGCCAATGGCGATTTTTTGTTTTTAATATCTTGATTACGATACAATGAAATCTTTCCCTTGTGGTCTTTCGTGCAGATTTACTTAGTACACGGAAAAGGTATGTACTATGAAACTTAGAAGGCAAATACTAGCAATTTAATTGGACGAGAAGATGTAAGTATGTGATAAAATAGAAGTGCAGATTTTTTTTTGTTATTGTTTAAAGGTATGAGTATTAGCTAACGCTCGAATTTAATCATGAAGAAAGGGATTATCATTCTATTACAAACTTAGAAATATTGTAAAGTGCTCAAGGATAAACTACTTCTCGATTAGTTTTAATCAAGAATGTGTTTCATCGTCAGTGTAATGTTTATGATCAATGCATGACTTCCTTTTTAGACACTCCATTTAGGATTAGGATTAGTGAAGGAGGCTACATATAAACCTACGTCTAAATGCCACATATTCATAGCGAAAAAGCAACATTTACAAATTTTGAATGATAACAAACTTTAAGGCAAATTTTTAATATAATATTATTCCTGTTTAAAATAAATTTAGACTTAATTTAATAAAAAGAACAAAGTAATTAATTTAACATATCTATGTAAACTTTCACGGTTAGATTTAAAGCACTGATTGTCAAATAAAAAAGGTAATATAAATTAATAAAATAAATGTTTAAATGCTACATTTAAGAGTGTTATGTCATTCCTATTGCGCTGTGATTATTTTACTATCAACACCATTTTACATTTTCATAGGTAAGTTATAATCATCATGAGTTTTATCGCCACAGAAATAATCGTAGGTGCTGTCTGGCGTAGCACACTTTCTGTTGTGTGAGGTCGTATCGTATACGTCATCAACAGTGTGGTTGTATACATGTTCCTCGGAGTGTTTTGGATGTCCGGCTTTAAGTTGGTTGTAATCAGAATTTTGACAAAATCCATAATCTCCATCGTATTTATGGCATGTATTTTCCTTTTCATCTTCATCAATGGGTTTTGCAAGCTCGTAATACTTCGTGTCTTCTTTTAATGGATGCATTGTATTATGCTCCATATCTCTAATATTTAGGTTAAATATTGCTCTCTCATTCATTCGATTGAATCCTGTTAACTTTGGGTCAAGAACAGTGTAGTCTTCACGTGTAACGTTATGGGCAGATGTGACTTCTATTTTGTTCTCATTGATTTTAGTTTGACATGTATTTATACTTTTATCAAACTGGTCGCTTTGAGGGTATACCGGGTGATTAGTTATTGCTTCTTCTGCTTCAAGAACAGTATAGTCGTCACTAATTGTATCACGGTTTGAAGATGAAATTAATTCCGTTTTGCGTTTCTCACTTGGATCCAACATTGCATATTCCTGACAAGATCTTGAAGATAAATCGTTTTGAGATATACCCTGCTCGACACTGAAAACCTTTGTTTCCCGTGTATGTTCGTTATCATCAATATAGTCATAACATGTATCACCTATTGCCTTGCTTCTAGATTGCAGTTCGCCATAATTATGACTTTCACGGCGCACTTTCAAATCGTTATACTCGGGAGAGTCTCCTGACCAGGGCATTGCGATATTCTGGTTTCCATTGTAATCCTGGCCGTTTGCAGATGTTTGTGTAGAATTTTTCTTTGGCGATCTGAAATTGAATATATCATTTATCTTAAGTAAGAAGTCAATCTTTTTTATACTACAGCTGGCACAATTCATGTTGTCATTATTTACCAAATATAGTAACAACGTGATATTTCGCGCAATCTTGATTTCATGTCACGTTTCTTTTCTTCGCAATCTGGTTCCCGTTTAGTAATGGAAAATAAGTTTTATTTTTGCGTTTTCATTTTAAAACCTATAAGTGTAGCTAGTTTAAGCTGCAGTATAAAAACAATATAAGATCAATGTCGAAAAAATATCAACTTTATTGAACTTGACACGAAATTGTTGAAGGGCTCAGTAAACCTCGCTCTACTCCTGTTTCTTAGCATTATACCAAAAAGTTGATGAAATGAAAGGCATCGAAGCTTCGAAATTTGTTTTTAATGTTTGGTTAAAAAAAAAGCTTTGTAATTTTATGGAAACTGCTATTCTTTGATGTGTTTTTCTTAAAATAACTAGACAAGTTTACAATCTTTGAAATTTATATTTCTATGAATACAGTAGAGTAATATAGGAGAAGTGACATTACGTAACTTTATTTAAGTATCTGACCGATGTATAATGCCTTTGTGATGGGATACTTATATAAGTCACAAGCTTTTGATGATTAAAACATATAATATGTACAGCAACACGAAAACCAATGCACCAACTCTAGTTGTAAATATAGAGCACTACGAAACACATATACAGCAATCTTTTGTGCTAAAATATTCCATTTCAATTCATTTAGAAATTATATTCCTTTACAAAACTATGGTTTGAAAGAAAATAAATATATTCGGAACCAGAATGCCAGGACTATCAATTTCAAATTCCATGAATACAAACATCCTAGAAAAATTGACAGGAAGAAGAACTACGTCCATCGCATATAGCTGACTGTATTGAATCAGTCTTGTCCGATGTTTCCCTCTATTACTTTATTACAATCCAGATACGAGTACAAATAAAAATAAAATTTGTATGAAAACTTGGATTTTATTAGAAGTATCTGACAGTGATTAGTTTATGGTCATCACATCATTATCCAGAGCGTAGTTAAATGTAGGATGAGATATCCTTTGTCTTAAATATCAACTACAGTAAATTGAACCTATCTTTTAATAGAAAACACTTTTCAGGTTATTCATATTGTCTGAATTTAACAAGAAAAATAATTAATTCATTGTATGCTTTAGGAAGTTAATGTATTTTCAGGCATGCTTTTTAGAAAATAATTGAGGATTATCAAGTTCCCTTAGAAACAGAAAGGATATAAAGATTTACGTGTTGATACTCATGTGGAGCTCCGTTATACAGAACGACATCTTTTAGCACCCCTCTGAAATATGAAATATATTTAATATAACACCGAAAGTTACCGAAAAACTCTCGACCTGTTATAACGATAAGTTAAAAAATATTGGGACGATCCTTAGGAATTCAGCTGAATATCATTCATTTTGTTTTTCATAAAGTCCTAATGTTTTCGAAAATATACAGCTGCTGGGTGCTTTTCCATATTGTCTTAGAGACTTCCGTGGAAAAAAACGAAATTGGAATCACATTTTGAAATTCAACGGTTCCTTGTCAATGTTTCCTAAATTGTACAGTTGATAGATGTCTTCCTCTATGCTTATGTTCTGACAAATCTAGACTTTGAAATTGACAAAAATTGGAATCGCTTTCTTTGAAATCCAAGTATTATGAATAAAAAAAACGTTGGTTAGTTAGTATGTATATCACGAAATTAATCAAAATGGAAATCACAAGAGCATTTGCATTATTTGAATAATTCTTTCAAGCTACCAGGTACAATTCTGTGAAAGGAAAAGGTATGTCGATAATGCCACTTTTTGGCCCCTTGAATTTAAAATGAAGAGTTATCATAAATCTAACAAATAACATCCTTCAGATGTTCACTAGACATATGTCTGCTAGACATCAGTATCTATTTTTTTTTAATTTTGTCGTATATTTGCCTTAGGGCTTCAAACTTCTTGCATTTAGTACAAAAACTGCAGAAACCGCCAAAATAGCCTTATTTGGTGATCTTGTGTTAAATATCTAATTATAAACAACAAAGATATTTTGTAAAAAGATGTATTTTACACAGATGGTTGTGTGTGTAAAATATCTGTTGGGGTAAAGCTGTTGCTCATATCTATCTTGTCTAAAACAATGTGTAAAACGGTCATCTAAAGTCAAATGACATCATAGTGGCATCACTAGATTTTTAACCTGTTCATTTGTCAATTAAATGAATATAATATTGAAAGGCTTGAGCAATTTTGATATGTTTGCAATCTCAGGGTCCAAATAATGACTCAGTATCATACCTCCTCCATTTATTCCAAACTATTCAGAAAAACTAGTAATAATAATTTGAAAAAAAAACTTAAAAACTTTTGGTTACTATAGTAAATCCTACCCATTTGATTATCAAACACAACTTAACAACTCTAAAATGTAAATTCTTACCAACCTTTAAGGTTAATTAAGGACATATAGCTAGCTGTTTTTATAGGTTTGAAAACATCAGACTAACGTTTTCTGAGAATTAGCGTAGACGATTTAATGTCACGGAGAAAGAACGAAGAGGAATAAAAATATGGGGCATAAAACGAAGCAAAAAACAAAAACTAAAAAAAAACCAAAGCAGTTAACATTTACTTTCAATGATGATGCTGGACTCTTTTGCTAATTTGCATCTTTCGTACATTCATGGAAACTTTGTCCAAACTCTTGGTCCAGATTAAAAGAGTTAATAAAAAGATGATAATGGGTTACATTGTAGATTCACATCATCACAAAACATTAGGTTGGTCAATGCATGAAGTTAAAAAATGAAAACAACACTTCATAAATTTCATGCGTTCGAGGCGTCAATGTTGTATACAGCAAAAACTATCGAAATGATGTGCCAAATCAGAAAACTGTAACTTCCTCATTAAAATGTACACTAATTGCGCCATAATTTCACCATTGTTAACGCACTGTAAAATATTTGCATTTATCGGGGAATTTCAACGCTTTATTTGAGTTCAGGTTAATGATAAAAAATTTTGATCAATATTGAATTTCTTGAGAGTATCATTAGCTCAGTAGTCAGTTCTTGGGTACTGACATGATTTATAACTAATTCTTCTAAAATCGTCCGTTTATAAATTTTGGAATTATAAAGAAACAAAAGTTTCAACTCCCTCTGGCAAAGTTGACTTTAGATGGATTTGGATATTTTTTAAGGTCCTTTAGGTTATATAGCTCCTCAACTGTTAAGGTTCTTATACATCCTTGACTTTCAAATATTCGGCTTTGAGCGTTCCTGATGAAGGTAAATCAAGAAAAGCGCTTAAGACGCATTAAATTTACAACGTGTTATTTTTATTTCTTGAACCTACCTATTTCATATAAAATATAATATTGCGTTTACAAGCTGGGTAAAAATGAAATTAGCCATAATTTTATCTAGCAAATTTTCTTTTTTTAAATAATAAACAACTAAACACACTACCTCTTTCTTTTTCTCAGGATAATGAGTGCACATGCTATGACTATGATAACTGCTACAGAAACCGATATTCCAACTGTTACAGCTAACCCTTTAACAATAAAATAAAAAAAAATCGCAATAGTATAATATGAATGATGATCATGCAACGATTTCCTCATTATTGAAAGAAAATATGACGTAAAATATCAGGATAAGTGACCAAAAATGATGTTGACATTTTTCAGCCCGTTTCTCCAGGATATGCGCCATTCGAATTTGCGGCTTGTGCAGATTTCTTTGAATTGCCTACACGAAATAATTTAGGTTACATAAAAAATATAAGAGCTTGAAATCATGTCAACATGTCTACCATGATAAATTGCGCAAGGTAGGACAAACAGCGGCAATGTTTGTTTAATATATTTAGTCACCGTTTTCGTCAAAAACTGCGCAAACATATTTTTTTATATTTCATACACTTGATTTTTTTTATTGATTTACTCTAGGTTATCTTTTTTCACCAGTATCGCACGGCTCTTTATTGATGAGTCGACATTTCATTGTTTAAGTTCGGGTGTAGTCTACAGATTTGGCTAGGTATATAAAACATGTTGACAGTTCCACACAGGTTTAGGACGGTCCGGTAGCAAAATATGCACATACTTATACATTTGTAATGGTATATGATAGCAATAACTAGGATGCGTTTAATATACATTTTTGTCAAATGAAAATTACTATGGCTATATATTAGAGGAGACAACGAATCTTGTTTTGATATCAAATTATTTAGTCTGGAAGATAACTATGCTTCTGAGCTGTGGTCGCAACATTACGATTTTTACTTGTATTCTAGATGCAGTTAAAACCTGGGAATCAAAGCTACTATAAAACTACCTACTCTAGTGGCAATGTGACTCAAATTTAATGTCGAAAAAGTGTCGGAGATCTGTGCAATAATAATATAAATGTTATAATTCAAAATCTAACTAAAAATCTTTTTTTTTTAGTAACATTAGGAATGCGACCTGTGGGGCATGGAATGTGCACTTTCCTTATCTTGTTGGATTCGTGTTGCTAGATCTTGATTTTGTGAACTGTTTATGTAGACATGTTTTTCATGGCGTCATTTTTGCAATGCTGTTCTCTGACCTTCTTCTATCAATGAAATGGTTGGTTTTATTTAAACTGAAATTTACTGCCATGTGTTTGCGTTTTACTGTGTTGATATTAATTCATTATATCAATAAAATGATTTCATTTTACCTATGACAGAAGCAAATTCGTCGGATAATAAGATATGCATGTAGTACATATTGCCGAGCATTTGATATCTTCAATGTTTTGTATATCAGCCGTTCTGATGTCTTGATGATTATTCATATCACATTAAGTAAAAACCATTGTCTCCAAGATCATTTATTTTGATATTTAATAAGTTAAACGTATTTGGAAGATCGCTTCACAAGCGTTGTATATGTTGGAACCCATAATATACTGAAATGATACTCTAGAAATTCATCCTCATTTAAGACAACCTCTTTAATTGAATTCCAAGCTTTCCAATCCTTCATTGCACTAGAGCTATGATTTTTCTATAGACACCCAAAGATTGAAGTTTTCACCTTCCCTGCTACCATATCTAGGAGGAATGTTTTTGCTTTTCTATGTTAAAATAATATATAGGTGGTTATGAATTTCAGGTCAAAATTAATGTTAAATGCTTGATCATGAAGTACAAAAAGCAATATGAGTAAAATAAAGTTAAACAACAACAAGAAAAAGAACATTAACTTAAAGAACACTAAAAAAATTGTAAAACAGTACGCCAAAATTCACAACGAAGATCTGCTAGTAATCAGATTGAAGCAAAAAAAGCAAACTTCCGTATGCCAAGGATAAGAATTACTCATGGCCATCTTTAAAGTAAATCGCAAAAGATGTACTAACCAGACATTCGGACCATAAATCGATTTCCTGTACAACAAATTAAAGGGACACGATTTGTCTCGGAAACGATTTAAAACCACGAATAAAGGTTTAAAGATAACAGAATGAGAGAATGTATTTTAGACAAAGGATCGTAAAGAAACATAGGAAAGATACCGCCTCTCATAACGTATTAAATGAAAGACATCGTAGATCCAAAAATAGTAAACTTAATCAAATTGTTATCACGTGACCTAAAACTTTCTCAAACGGAATAAAAATTATTGAGCATAGCATATGCTTACGAATGATTTATGATAAATCATCCTGTTAGATAGGTGTATTTAAAATTAAACATCATGCCTGATCTCCAATTTCTCTTTATTCATTGTTGTTAAGACAAAATAAAAAAAAAGCTAATTTCCAAATGAAAGGCAGCGAAGGATAAAGAAACCATGAATATGTGTATTACATAGCAAATGAAGAGCTATTTGTAAGCAGTAGTATCCGATATATGTAAATTTAAACTCTATAGTTTAGAAAATGAATTCAGTTTTAAAGAGGAATTGTCGCTTTAAGAATGATATCTCACCATAATCAGTACATTTCACATAAATAATAGATAATGAACGAAAAAGACTACTTTATGAATTATTTAACATATGAGTGCGTCATTCGGATTATCGAACAATCAGTGTGCTCTGATTAGCATCAATATTAAGCTCCAATTGTACATAAAATTGAGAATGGAAATGGGGAATATGTCAAAGAGACAACAACCTGACCAAAGAGCAGACAACAGCCGGAGGCCACCAATGGGTCTTCAATGCAGCGAGAAAATCCCGGACCCGGAGGTGGTCCTCAGCTGGCCCCTAAATAAAATTGTGTGCTAGTTCAGTGAAAATGGACGTCACACTTAACTCAAAAACATATAAATGATCTTAAATTAAAAAACATACAAGACTAACAAAGGCCAGAGGCTTCTGACTTGGGACAGGCGCAAAAAAGCGGCGGGGTTAAACATGTTTTGTGAGATCTCAACCCTCCCCCTATACCTCTAGTCAATGTAGAAAAAAGAAACACATAGCAATACGCACAGTAAAACTTAGTTTAAAAGAAGTCCGAGTCCGATGTCAGAATAGGTAACAAAAGAAACTAAGCAAAATGACAATGGTACATAAATAAACAAAGGACTACTAGCAGTAACCGTTACTGACATGCCAGCTCCAAACTTCAATTAAACTGATTGAAATATTAGGTCTTCATCATATATACATACCTGTTATAGAAAATGACACTTGTTGTTCAGTTTTTGATGATGAACTTGGCGATGCTGTAAAGAACTGAGTGGGTAGGTGTGTCGAGGATTTCAATGATGGTTGAGCTTCTACAACAGACTGGTTTATCATTTTACTGTGAAAACTACCGTTTAAACTAAGGTTGGTTTTGTAATGAGTATAAAATAATTATCTCAGTATTTAACTATATTTTTAAACGGAAATAATGTTTCTATATTAAAAAGGTCTTTTGGTTGTCAGACAATTTACTAATAAACTCATCATTAATACCAATTTTAACATTTTGCACGTCACACGCGCGTTTCGCCTACAAAAGACAAATAGATTCATCTTTCTTCTCTTCATAAGCAAGCAAATGCTACCTTTACTTTAACAAATTTTTAATTGAATTGAATTATATTGTGTTTTCAGGCTTTGAAACAGAAATCAAACTTCTGAAATATATGCTCAAAAAGCAGTCTGTGTAGAGCTTGTAAAATTGTAGAAATCATGCGTTGTTTAGAAACATTTGTCGATCACATATCAGAATAGCCTTTTCAGGTCAACAACACAATTAGCTTAGGAAAAAATTTAAAGTAAAAACATAAAACTATTAAGGACACAAAGATTTGAAGATAACAGAATGGGAGCAAGTATTTAAGATAAAGGACTGTTCAGAAAATTACGAGAGATACCTTAGATCCGAAAATAGTAAACTTAATGAAAGTGCAATCACTTGACCTGACACTTTCTCAAACAGGATAAAATTGAGTAAGTATAGTATATGCTTTCAAACGGCATACGATAAATCATCATGTTAAATGAGTGTATTAACAATTAAATTTCATTCCTGATGTCCTATGGAATTTCGCTGATTAAAACGATTACAATCGACCAAAGTGCTAGAATTTGAAAAATATCACCATCTAGAATCAACACCGACATCGTAGATATTATTTACAAATACCATGACATGCTGTTTAATTCACTTTGAACAATCGTGAGTTACAATTGTCGCAAAATTATTTTACTTATTATTAATAAGTATTTTTCACATAGAAGTTATTTAAAAACCGTTCCCTTAAGGTAATGGGTACGTCTTATGGATATTTATGAAATGTTGCAAGCAACTAGAGCAAGTGGAACTGCATATGAATATCGAAAAATAATATATAAGTAACTTTTATACTTTCGGAAATAGCATTGAATATATTTTGTAACAAGAAGTACAACTGTATAAGATGCAGGTAAATAACACAGAAAATATTGAATAATTTGACTTTTAATTGCCTTTTCTCAAAACAAAATCCTTTAAAAGGATATGTTATTGCCACTAAAATTTCCATTTTATTGAAATGAAAATTATAGGGGTTATTTAATTTTCTGTATTAATCATTCTAGTGTCATTGTTATATATAAAAAAAAGTCTAAAAAAAAAAAGATTTCAAGTCGCGACGTCGCGTCGCGATTATTTTTGCCCTTTCAGCGCCTTTTCCACGCTGTACAGATGATTCAACTATTCGTACTTAAGAACGAATTCGGGGACCCTATACATTTTATATCAATAAAACGGAAATTTTAGTAGCAATAATATATCATTTTTAAAGAAAAATTCGTAGTACATGATTTCATGTACTTATATCTGTTTTCTAAACTGTTTTTTGTCTTTTTGTCATTTTCTTTAGATGTATTAGGGGGGGGGGGGGGGGGGTTGATAAAATAAATTTTGTCAGTCTAGATCTTTAAAGAAAAATATAAAGTTTGAGATAGGAAAAACATTTCGTTTGTAAAACTTTTCATAGATTATGTGATTTATCGTATTCAAACGACCTGTTTTTACAAACACATAATGTTTTAAGGTTGATTCAATATTTTTAAATTAGCCCCATAAGGGAGATTAATCAGATAATTTAATTTTAAAAGAAATGGACAGTATATTTAACCTTTTCTATTTAAAAGCAAATAAACGAGTACGGTGACACATTTTTTCTTTTTGTTTTCTGAAAGCACACTATAAGAGATATCTTCTCATATTTTATTTTGAAATTTTATATTTAGCTTTCATTTTTAAGTTTTTTTTTTCAAAATAATTTTTTTATAAATCAGATAATTAGCACAAATTGTAGTTTGAAAAATGCTCCTTGACCCATACTTTTTATCATGTTTTTTAAGTTGCATGATGTAAACTACATTTTTAGGGAATTATTAAAAAATTTCTATTGTTTTTTATTTAGACCACCTATCGAATTTAACGTTTTAGCACTAGAAATCTTATTTCTCGATATCTTACATTCAAACAGTTTTTACAGTATATTTGATGATGTAACTAACTTAACTATGTACCTTTGATACACCTGTAAGTAACATGTAGATATTTGTATGTATTCTGGCAAGGATCACCGTAGATCTTATTCGAAGCTTTTGGTAAGCATGTTTGTAAGAAACTACAGTTGCTCTCTACAATGTCGGTTACTGTGACATTACACGAGGTAGAACTTATTCTTGGATCTTTACATACACTTTGATTTTTTCTACCATAAAAGGCATCTTCAATCTTGATGATTGTTGTTGGAGGACATTCAAGATTTGGACTTTCTTTATTCTCACACAGAATGTAAGGGTCTCTCAAATCTGAAAAAAAATTAACAAAGAACATTTTTTGAATCAAATACATTATAGAACACTTATTTAATTTTATAAGTTTCTATAGTAAAGTATACGTATTTGGGCGGTAATTCGGATTTTTATGAAATTTAGCATGCATTTAGAAATCGATAAGCTGCATACATGATAAGGGTCCAATTATGACAGGCACATTAGACGCCATTATGATTTTGTTAGCCGTTATGGAATCTATGTCACAGATGACTTCGAATGTTCCACTTGTCGTAAAACAAATCTTTCCTCTTTTTCTCTATTGTGACATAACCAAAAGCAATGTAATACCGGATATTTACTTGCTTTTCTTTTATTGTTGTTGGTCTTTTCTTCTGGTTATTTTTACCAGGGTGTTGTCTGTTTTTTATTGGACTCATAAATTTAGTTTGCCCCCTTGGTATCTCCTATCTCTATTTTGTCCCTTTCTTTTCCGTTATTTATAAATTTCCCTTTTACATGGGAAACCTATTGTTGCCAAATTTTATTGTTATTTTGTAAAAATTCATGACATGATTTTTTTTTTTTTTTTTTTTATAAAATTTAATGATCTTATAATTAAATTGATTTTTTGCATTGCAAATACATTTATTTATTTATTCTGTTTCAAATGCACGGTTCATTGTTTAAGTTTGCCATTTAAATCTTCACATAACCTTTAATTTAAACATTCTAAAGAATATGATTTGAAGCGCCTCGTGGACTTAATTCATATAGAAATACGTGTTCCCGCTAAATATTCATTACGACAAATTTCAACATTCATTACAACCAACCTTTCCGGGCTCCCTTTAGTAAACAAAATTTTTGCTATCTTAGTTTATTTTTCAGATTGCATGGTGAACAGATCCATGTGTGTTGAATGTACCATTCTGATTGTCATGAATCATCATTAATGTCAGAAGTTTCAACATTCATCGGCAGTTGCAATGAAAACCGAAAATTCAAGTGATTTACAACAATAAATTAAAAAAAGATATGTCTATCGTCATGGAATTCAGTTCTTAAGAAAAATGCGTTGGAAGACAACACTAACCTGATTCAAGTAGCAGTGATGTATCCACATATTGTTCATTGAGCTGTTATGGATCTGCCCAGCAGCTAGAAATTGTTTTACATCATTTTCACTGTTGGGTTTCCCGTCACTGGTCAATTGTCATCAAGTTTTCACTTGTTGGCCAGTTTGCTGATGTTGGTTGTTTTTTATTTGATTTTGTTGAATAAATGCCATGACAAATAATCAGCCAAATTTTACTTTGTTTTTTGTATTTTACTTACGAAGGAAGGAAACAAAACAAATTCCAATTGTTTTATATTCGTTGAATATGCAATAAAATCGATTCTAGTACTTACAGTAAGAACCAAAACAAAATTGTTAATTCATGAATTTTCTGTACTGAAATTCTTTAAACTAATTATAACATTATTTGTCTTTGTTATTGCTACTATTGGCACTACACTTTTCAAAAACAAACAAACTGAAATTAACATGATTTGGCTAATTACTTTGACTTAAATTAAAGTAACGTCGAGCATTTAAGTAATATTTATAGTACTGATTGTTTTCGCTTGATATACAACAGATAAAATTGAGTTAAATACTATTTTCTTACTATTTTTATAGTACTCTTTCTTTATTTTTATTGTTAGTCCTTTTCTGTTTCTCTCGTAGTTCGTCTGAATGCAATTCAATTTTGAAAGTCGATTTCATAAAAACCCTGTTTATACCCAACTATTATACTATGTGATGCCCATAAAGAAAGAGAAGATTCTGATACATATACCAAGCGGTACAACGAGAACTTCCAAAATCTGTATACATGTATTAACCGAATGGGCAATCAAAATTCATTAGTCTAATAAAACAGACAACACCATGGCCAAACAGAAAAACAATGAAAAGACAAACAACAATAACAAAACACTACACAAAAAACTGTAGATTAAGCTACTCAAACCCCACCAACAACTAGGAGTGAACTCAGGTACTAGAATGAAATATCATCAGTGGCTATCTATATACACCGTAGTATGTTTCCCTTAAGTTTGGTTTGGATGACAAATCTTTGGAAGTCTGTATAAATCTAATCCTGAACATGAAAGGGGATGATTTAGAGCTTTACATTTGATAGACTAAATAATATTGCCTATACTAATTGTAGGAGACGATATCTTTACGAGAGGAACACTTCAAGTGTCTTTCAATTTTCGCTAAAATACACAATACTACAGCTTTTGCTTTGAATTTCTGATAACATTATGGCGTGTTTCTGGGCATAGCACTGGATTATGAATGTAAAAAGAGGTCCACTAATTCATTTTGGTGTATTTTGATCAAAAACAGAACTTCAGACAAATAATTAGATTGATTGTTTGATTGATTGATTGATTGATTAGTGTTTAACTCCACTTTCAACACTATTGTGCGATTTCGTGGCGGTCAGTTTTTATTGGTGGAGGAAGCTGGAGTGCCCGGAGAGAACCACCGACTTTGATAGGAAAACTGACAATCCTAGTCAATTAAGATTGGAGTCGAGTGCATCTGCCCCGTGCGGGATTCGAACTCACAACCTCAGTGTTGACTGGCTAGTGATTCAGTAGATTGACTACTTAGACCACTCGGCCACCGAGGCCCCCAAATAATTAGAAGGCGCATAGCTTACACACGAAAACAATCATTTCGGTTCACTATGTCCTTCGATGAAAGATTTTACATGTAAACTATGCAATTTGTATCAAATTGTCTCAACAAACATCATTCCATAAATTTTGAATAAAGTTTATTGAAGCTTTTTAAATGCCATTACGGTTAATTGAACATGTGGTAATAGGAAGTTAATGAAGAAGTAATGATAGCAAAAATTAAAGCAATATCAATATAAAACTTTACTACGTAGGTCCCTGAATATGATTATTTCGTATTTTGTAAAAATGTACGTCACTCCGGAAAAAACCTTTACCTTGACCTTTGGCCTAGGAAGTTGTACATACATTATGACACTCCCTCTGGTGTTGGTTTAATATACATGTCAAGTATAAAGTATGAAATTATAACGGTTCTCTAGATATAGAGCGGACACGATTTGTTACGGACGGACGGTCGGACAGACTGATCACTATAGGGCGACCCGTCATTCGGTGGTGCCCTAATAAAGGTTCACAAATATTATTACTAGTATTTCAATTTTTTTATTTGCATTGTGTTACTTGTATGTCAATTCTTTTATTTGGTAATATCATGTCAATTTATTGATACTACTGTTATATTTATTGTTGTCTTTTTTCATAAGCCAACAATAGTTCTGAGCATACCTCTCCGATTGATTATTTTTCAAAAATAATGAATATCATTGCAAAACAAATCAAAACATAAATACTCTCGAAAGATTAGCACTTCATTTGAAAGGATATCTGCTACAGTGTTGAAAATCGTCTTTATAGATCAAATTCCACTACATAACATTAACTTTCCGATATAAACTATGATAAAACAGATACAGGAAAAAGTGGGGAAACTTGATTTAGAAACCCCAACAAACGAACAGTAATTGTATAATAAATGTCTGATGACGAAAATTAACCGATTAGAAAACAAGTACACTTACTAATTCTTACAAACCCTTATCCAAAATAGAGAAAAATGTAAGACGGCAGATAATTTAGAAATTACTTCATTTCCAAAGATTATACATCGCCCTAAAACGAAAATTTCCACCCACAACAATTCAATAAGCCTTTCTTCTTATCCTAGTTTTGTGACCACATTACAATTTAAATGCAACGGAGTACTTGTATTCCAAATGGATGAAACTACATGCCAAAACAACAATTTGCTGTAAAATAAGCTTTGAGAGACCAAGCCTTTTAGAGGAGTTATTAATTGTGCAAATATAATTCTTTCGGACAAATTTTTCTTTTTCAATTACCCGAGATGCAATGCTGCCCACAATGCAACGCAATGTGCGCCTACTATCATTAAAATCAGAAATATGACGCCTTGGCGTAAAACAACGATGGTTGTTTTTCTAGTTTAGAAACATTAAAATTATAGCATATTCATAATATGTCATAGTTTGACACCACAGTCAAAGGCGACAAATAAAGTTCCGTAGTGTCTATGAATTGAGGATAATTTTAAACAAGTAAACAAATGGATAAAGAAGCAAAACAATTTATGTTTAATTAATTCTAATAGGATTGTCTTTTAACAGCAAATTGTGTAGGCTACATATGACCTTGAATGCGTACCTTGTGTCCTATTTATCTGATACCTACGTTTTCACCGTCTCGTGCTATTTTATCATTAATGAATAGTTTGTATTGAGTGACGATATATCAGGTTCTAAAGTCTTTATATTTCAAATAAAAAATGCAATAATTATATAAGAATTATCCTCATTGAAAGCAAAACAAGTATTGCCCAAAAACGAAAAGCCTTGTTACTTTGTGGAATGCAGACATATATTATACTACGATAGTCTCAATTGCTCCCAAAACGATGTATACCATCGCAAATAGGATAAATTTGCGTTCAATGATTGAACAAATAATAGAAAATACCTCATACACCACTAACTATAAAAACAAGAAGATGTGGTATGATTGGCAATGAGACAACTCTCCACAAGAGACCAAATAACACAGAAATTAACAACTACAGGTCACCGTACGGACTTCAACAATGAGTAAAACCCATACCACATAGTTAGCTATAAAAGGCCCCAAAATGACAAATGTTAAACAATTCAAACGAGAAAACTAAAGGCCTGATTTATGTACAAAATAATGAACGAAAAACAAATATGATAAACAGCAACAAATGACAACCACTGAATTACAGGCTCAGGACTTCGGACAGGCACATACAGAATGTGGCGGGGTTAAACTAGTTTGAAGGCGCCAACCCTCCCCCTACATGTAACAGTACAACATTAGAACAAACTATAAAAATCAGTTGAAAAGGGCTTAACTCATCA